ATTTGTACGCGTGCATCCCGTGCTGTAGAGCCAGACAAATTCAAAATACAAGGACTTCCGTTTTCTTCTCGTTTCTTCTTCTTCATCTTTCGTAGGTGCTAGACGGTCTCTGACAGTCGAACGCGGAAGTACCACTCGGCGGATCTCGTAGGCGGGCCCAGAATGTAAGCATGTTGCATGCACACGTGTTCCCACGCCAGAGTCCGTGTGGCATCCTCCCTTTCTCCTGTGTTTCCTTTTAAAGCACCACGGTACCCCAAGGATGTTTAGGACTTACGCCTTCGTGGTAGTTAGAGTATAAAAAAAAGAAAAAAATTAATGCAAGTTCATCCTCTGAAAATTTTGCCATCTCGACTTCACGTGAACACAATTGCACTGTCTGAGCACGGAGAAAAATACTGACCGGTGTGAATTGAAAACACTGTGATCTCACGTCAGCGAGAATCACTGGCATGTCACAGCACTGACACGTCACGGCTGAGTGTGAGTAGACCTCTACTTGATAAAAAATAAAGCGATTTACGGGATCCATGCCATTCTAGATCAAAACATAAAAATGACTATTTGTCAAATATTGACAAGTGAGGCACCTTGTTGAGTTCAGAATGCCATTCTCGATCGACATAAGTTAAAATATCTAGGGTGTCCCATTTAAAAATCGAAAGTTCGAGTCGTTTCCGGTCAAACCGGAAGTACGTCGAAGCAAGTGAATATGGCAAAAAATGGTAATTCACCTATAATAGGCAACCCCAAATTTCGTTTTTCTATCTTCAATAATAAAAAAGTTGTAGGGGTGAGCCACCTTGGAGAATCACCTGATATAATAGTCTATGAAACGTCAAAGAAAAAAAGAAAAAAGTTTAAGCGATTTTAATTTTTGTTCCAACCCATACACACTACAAATCTTTTTCGTCTCTGGCACAGTAGAAACCTTGCATCAAAAAATCATCAATACCTGAGCAGTGCTTTCCATGTTAAATAAAGACACAAAGAAATGGGTGTCATGGTTATTCATGATGTAAATGACATATAACATTCATAAAAGGAAGTATTCAGACCAGTGGCATGGGACGTAAGAATGAGTTTTTATGGCATCCAGAAAGAGAGAGATAAAGTCAATTAGAGAGAGAGAGTCAATTAGGCTGAATCAGTACTTTAGACGCATTTACAGTTCTTACTGTGCTTCTCTCAGCTTTCTGTTGGATCATGGAGTCATCAATTTACGCCAATTCCAGCAGTGCTGTGATTTCAATGAAAACTGGTTCCTTGGGTAAATCTCCTATGTATTTGCTGGTAATTTACCACTGGACAATCCAAATTCGGCCCACGATTGTTCAGAATTTTCTGATAGTCACATTCTAATGCAGTGCTAAAAATTACTCATCCTGTGTTTGCTTACAGTTTATAGAAAATGAAAATTCATCAAAGCAAAGCTGTATTATGGAAAATTTTCAAAAATCCTCCAGTATCTGTGATCTGGATGAAGACTCTTCTCTTCGAGTGAATCGGGTGCATAAATATCAAGTTATGTCAAATTGGCACTGGGACTAATGAGAGGTCGAGAGCAGATCATTATCTATCTCAAATTTGGCGTAATGACTATTTGTTTTTGATGGTATGTAACAAGGTTTGTTTCCATTCAACCAAGAATGAAAATGGAAAATTTGTGGCAATGCTGTAAAATACATGGCCACACTGTACCTCAGAATTCTTGCTATTCATATTCAAATTCACCGCCAAAAATTACAGTTAACGGTACCAGAGAACAGAAATGGAAATTTTATATAACAAATCCATATAATTATAAAATGTATTAAGGAAATTCTAATATAAATATTTTGAATCCTTGTGTCAATTTAACACTGGCATTAAAGAGAGATTCCAAGCAAAGAATTATTTAACCAAAATCTGATCCCACAATATATCGGAGTTTTTTAAATATACATAACCAAGTTAGGTCCTTGATTGACAATGATATATGATTTCAAACCATTCTGTTTATTGAATAGCTTTTGCATTACAGTGAAATAATTCATTATGTGTATTCTCTTTTGTCATAATAAAGCAACAGCTGCTAGCAAAAAATATATATTATTTTATAATATGATGGCTGTCATAAATGACTCCTCTAAAAATACATCTATTAGGATATATTTTATAATTTCCAGCTCAATGAGTTGAATTTAAATATGAGCCTATCTACAAACATTGTTAATCATAGGTAAAAGGCCAATGATATTTGGAAAGTAAAAATATGTTTGCTGTTATCAATGATGTGGTTTGTTAGTCTAATTTCATCATACACTGATATCATGTACTAGCAATTATGAGTATGTATAACTCTCAAAAATGGTAATGTCAATAAAATCTTAAATATGGTATATTTACATATTCAATGAATCAGATAAATATAAAATAATTTTGGAGATACATCATTATGTAACTTGGAATGAATTTAACAAGTTATTACTAACTATTAAATATTGTTTCAAGTTCCACCCCAAACCATATATTAAAATACAAAATGGATCTTTGTTTGAAAAATTGTGGATTTCCAGATTAGAATGCCATTAATTTTATTGAAGGAAGAGTTTTGTTGCGTAAAATGATCTATGATCTACAGGAAACTAACAATAGATTTAGAGTTTCTTTTAAATTTACAAACTATCACTATTATCCAAATCTCATCAAGCATGATTAGAAGATACCAACTCAAAATGATTTCTTCTGTAAAAATCTTTGTATTGACTTGTTAGCATCAGAGGCAAAAAATATATTATTATTATTACATTTAAAATAAAGAATTGTGGCTTCAAAAATAACTCTTGAGAACCTGAAAACAAAACAAAAGAATCTACTGATATAAAGATTCCTTATTAAATAAAGATATACGAATCTCCTGGTGGGCTCTTCATACTCTTGCTTGTTATTATTTTCCACTTCAAAACAGAGAAATGACAGCATTTGTTGTCTTGAACAATACTATTTTGGTCTCCAAAACGTTGTGCAATATATCCAGAGAATACCGAGTATCTGATGAAAAATGAAATAGATACTTACGATATGTTCCCGTATGGTGTTGTGGAAGGTTTGCTCATGAATATCTGGCTCAGAGTCGTCATAATCTTCCATAGTTTATCACCTATTCGTCGAAACTAGTTCAATATAAGCTGAGACTACAGTCATCTTCGCAGATGTTTATTTCTAAATAGGCAATCGTTGCCTTATGTAGGCATCGTATAGAAAGCTTTCAAGCACACATTCTATACAATTAAATGTGGTCACAATTACAATGGGATAATCCCTAATAAAGTACCAGACTTCAACAAACAACCGTACTTCAGGCTACGCCATTTAAATCTGAAAAAAATTAAAAGTAGCTGTCAAAAGTGTTTCAAGTTGTCATTGCTGACAGTTTCTCAAAGAGAATCGGTTAAATCGATCTCACACGATGTGCCGAATGCCTTAAGCCAGTCCCATACGATGTGGCGGATGCCTTACAACGTTGGCCATTCGCCACATCGTGTGGGAGAGCGCTGACGGTTACATGTGTCCAACGTTGGCCGTATGGCACGTTCGGGCTCTTGTCGGTAAATTTGACCCGCGTCAAAGGCCGTTACAACGTTGGAAGCAAGGTTCGTTAGCTTAGAACCAGTAGCGGCGAAAAACATTATTTACTTGTTTGCTGTGATTGTGGTAAAGTAGTGATATGTACGAATTATTTTGATTTGAATACATACATATTCATAATAATGTATGTTCCGTAACTAACTTTTGAGGAAAATGAATTAAATTAGTAAACATACAAAGCATAGGCTGCCATAAAAACACTTTTTTCATATTGCTAATATTTTGTACGTTCCGCAGATGAGTTATGGCTGACCTAAGGAAATGTAAATTATAAATTATCAAGTACTTACAGTTGTTTCATTATAATGTCATGTTGCAATGCAAGACTAGTTGAGAAATATATTGACTTGCATTTGATAGCTAACGAAAACCATTAAATGAGTGATAACTCTGAAAGTACTATCAGGATTTTGATGAAATTTTGACCCTAGATTACTACAATGAAAATGACGAAAAAGCTCTGCAGTTTTCGAAAATCGGTACTGTGGCGGCGGAGTTATAGTCGAAAAACAAATAAAAAACGGTCAAACTCCGTTTTTCGACATTTCTGAGGCTTCTGACAGACTTAAGTTTTTGTCACCGAAGACAGATCTGAAATTATTTATCGGCGCTCGAAAAAATTGTTTCATCGTTCATTCTGTATAATTTTTCCATTAGTTGTAAAGGTTCAAGCGCGACACTGACACCGATAATAGATGTTGGCGTCACCATGCCTCAAACATCCGAGACTAAAAAGTTCATCTCATCGTGTAGGACGTTGTAAACAGCGATGTACACAGCGCTGGAAGCATCGTGTGGGACCCGCATTAAGTCGGTCCCACACGATGTGGCGCATGTCTTACAACGTTGGACACATGTCCATTCACCACATCGTGTGGCAGAGCGCATGTGGTAGACACACTTGTGGGGTGTCGAACGTTGTATACAACGCTGGAGGCATCGTGTGGGACCTACATTACTCGAAAAAATAGGGATGAGGAAACTTGAATGACCATTCTTTACGAAAGCAACTATTTTCTTTTTGAGAAGCATATGAATACACAAAAACTAGAAAACTAAATACACTGTTACCTACTCCTTCACAAAAATTCTTAGAAGATGTATTTATGCAGCTCTTTCACTTGTGCGAGTGATTTTGAAACGCTGTTTTAAATTTTGCATGTTTAGGCAATGCATTTTTGACAGTGGTGAGTGTTTAACCGGCGATTGCCTTACAACATTCACCACATTGTGTGGGAGAGCGCTGACGGATTACATGTGTCCAACGTTCGCCACAAACCAATTCAGTTTGACGCATGGTTTCAAGTTCCACTTTTTTCACAAATCGTTAGGTCAACTGAATTTGACCAGTTGAAAATAGTTGCTGGAACATATCTATTAGGTTCCATGTTCCATGTCACATTCTGCAAAGGTTATGATTTTGTAGATAACAGAGGTCAGATGGGTCAGACTTATAGATGTTTTTGTAAACAATAAAATTTGCAAATCACACATTTTCTTGATTTGCAAAGTTGTACATTCCAGAACAAATAAGAAAGGTGGTGTAGACAAGTAATTCATGATAGAGGTTCGTAGACGATTTTTTATAATGTCAGAACTTACAAATTCAAGATATAATTGCCAGAATGGGATTGTGCAGCCTTTGCTCACGGATTTGTACCAAATTACTATGGCTTACGCGTACTGGAAATCCAAGAAAACTGATGATTATGCAGTATTCGACTTATTTTTTCGCAAGAATCCATTTAGCGGAGAATTTACAGTATTTGCAGGCCTAGAAGAATGTCTTAAATTTATCCAGAAGTTCAGATTTTCTGACAGTGATATTGCTTATCTCAGGCAAATTTTACCTTCAAGTATTGAAAATGAGTTCTATGAGTATTTGAAAACATTAACTGCTGACCATATAAAGTTTTATGCAGTTAAGGAAGGCACAGTGGTTTTTCCAAGGATCCCACTGATAAGAGTAGAAGGCCAACTAGTAGTGGCTCAACTCCTTGAGACAACCTTGCTTAATTTAGTTAATTATGCTAGCTTAATGACAACCAATGCAGCAAGATATAGACTAGCAGCGGGGCATCTTAAATTATATGAATTCGGTTTGAGGAGAGCTCAAGGCCCTGATGGAGGCTTGTCTGCTTCAAGATACAGCTATATTGGAGGATTCGATGGAACAAGTAATGTGCTTGCTGGAAAACTATTCCATATTCCAGTTAAAGGCACACATGCCCATGCTTACATTACCTCATTCAACTCTATTGATGAATTGCAGTTAACAATGCTAAGAAATAGTAATACAGGTAATTCATCTTAGGCAAATGTCACACAATCAGTACTTGATGTAGTTGTCAGTATTTACCTCAAAATGTGGTATATAAAGAATGTGTTGAATTGATGTCAGTAATTATTGATGATGGGGTCATCAATTTGTTTATCTATGGAATTAAAATCTCAGCCATCTATGACAAACTGTTCAAATTAGATGCTAATAAAGGACCTGGACCTGATGGTGTACCTCCGTTGTTGATTAAACATTGTAGCGTTCTGATTTCTAGACCTCTATTTTATATTTTTAATCTTTTGTTGAAAAGTGGAACTTTTCCGGAATATTGGAAAACAACTTCATTACTCCAATACTGAAATCTGGAGATCCTTCACAAGTCAAAAATTATCGACCTATCAGTAAACCGAGTTGCATTGGAATGGTATTTAAGAGACTAGTTTGTGAATTTTTATCTGCAAATTTGCAAAGTAATGTTATAAGCCAACAGTTTGGATTTCTTTCAAAACGCTTCATAGAGTTAAATCTGTTAACATTCACAAACTGTGTTTTGGAATCCTTGGAGGAAGGTTATTCTGTTCACATAGTTTATACAGATTTTTCTAAAGCTTTCGATAAGGTCAACCATGAAATCTTGATCAATAAGTTACGTTGTCTAGGAATTTGCGGGGATCTTTTATAATGGCTGAAGTCTTATCTCACTGACCGAAAGCAAATAGTGCACATACAAAGCTTTCAAGCAAACAAGATTAACGTGCCATCTTGAGTACCTCAAGGTTCCTATCTGGGTCCTCTTCTGTTCAATATATACGTGAATGATATTATATACTGTTTTAAGTCTGTTAGTTTTCTAATGTTTGCAGATGATTTGAAGTTATTCTTAAAAATCAAATATAAAAATGATTGTTTAAATATCCAAACTAATTTGAATTCATTAAGTCTTTGGTGTCAAATGAATAGAATGGAACTTAATGTGGAAAAATGCCATTTAATGGTCTTCAGCCATAACAGGAGCCCCATTGATCATACTTATACCATGAAAGGTTGTCCTCTAAAGAGTGTATCCCAAGTTAGGGATTTAGGGGTAATTCTTGACCCAAAATTATCTTTTATTACCCATATATAGTAAATATGATTGTTTCTAAATCTCTTCAAATGTTGGGTTTTATAAAATGATGTGCTAAGGATTTTCATAATATTCAGTCATTTAGAACGCTCTTTTGTTCTTTGGTGAGGCCCCATCTGGAATATTGTTCTTGTGTTTGGTCACCTAACTATAATGTTCATATTCAGGCAATTGAGAGAGTGCAACATAAATTCTTAAGATTCATCTCATTCAAACAAAACGTTATGGTAGAATATAATATCTATTCCGTAATTGAAAGCTCTCTCAATATCTCAACCCTTCAGGTAACACGGAATTAGAGGGACCTGTCGCTTTTTTATAATATTTTGCCTCTCTTATTTTTGCTGCAGAACTTTTGAAAAATATTAATCTCCATGTGCCTTCTCGTCAAAACAAGACTGAATCAACCATTCCATGTGAGATCATTTCGTACTAATCATGCTAGCAATTCCTTCCTGTCTAGATCTTCAAGGTTACCAAATCTGTAACAAGTTGGATTTCTTCAGAAGTCAGATAAAGCATTCAAAATTCAATTAGATTCCTGTCAGTAATATTTAATATTTGATTTCCCCAATTCGTTTCAATTAAGAAATGATCTGGATTGAAGTGTTTATGATTGTTTTAAGTGTTAAATATCTAAGTCAAAGGGTTAGATTTACATTAGATCTTCTATGCTGTACTTTAATTGGGCAGTCGCTCGTTGATGAATCAATAAATAAATAAATAAGGTTATGTAGCAATCTACTGACACAGGAAATCATCAGTAAATACTGATGGTACGGACCACAACAGTAAATTGTGATTGTTTGTCATTCACTGTATAATGCATATTTTAGAACTATAATCTTTAAGCAGATTTGAAAAGAAAAATAAATATTAACTGACAAAGAAATAATTTGATAAATTCCTATAAAACATAAATGCCTCAAAAGGATCTCCAGCAAAATAGTTCTAAAAATTAATGTTTTTCAAAAAATTGTATAATTCAGCTTTAATATAAACAAATGTCTGTAAATGAAGTATTGAACTCAGTATTATCTAATTGTAATATCCCAGAACATCTCAACAGTCATGGGCGCCCATTGGAAGGGGGGGGCTAAAGGGGGCTTCTGCTGAAATATTTTCAATAATATACCCAAACCTTTGGTAAGAAGTGCATGTGAGTTTTTTTTGCTCTTCAAAACATCCCAACATAGAAGATATTATTTCTGCTACCATTTTTTTGAACAGTTGCACCTCCCTTCACGTCTTCAATTGTCACCAACGGGTTGGCTAGTTCTCAGCATTTTTTATCCTGCACAACCTGTAAACCGAACATGCCCCCCCTGGATTTTGCTATATGGGCGATCATGCCAACAGTACATAATGTTTGCTGACAAATCCTATTCTACCTAGCAGAATGCAGACATGGTATCTTCAGCCAGCCTTATTAAATCATGGAGGGATTCTGTGGTGGCATCTAAATATTTATATTATAACCATATAGCAGTCCCACCAAAAATATTGGTTTGTTTTTATGTGGAGATAGAGAAAAACATCCATCCTTGGCATTACAGCCTAAAATAATTTCTTTTACTTGACAGAAATGTCTTAATATGCTACCCCATTCCAAGCAGTGTTGCCATAAAAGATACTACTTTTTAACCATATTTTTTATGAATACCAATGACACAACTACACAAGAACATAATGTCTTTGATGAGGTATTTAAAAAAAACTACTTTGACTAGGGTATTTTATAGGTTGATATTATTGGGGAGCCCCCTTAGAACATTTATTATAGAATAACATTCCATTTTGCAGATACTGATGAAAATTTTGTCCACCCAGTATTAAAATGGCGAGAAAAGTTGATATCAATGTTTGGTGTAATCCTTTCTGAAGTTAGTAATGGCGAGTTGGCTGCATTTATTTCATTTGCTATTGCCTTTCCTGATGGGTTCATGGCCTTAGTAGACACTTATGACGTGAAGAAAAGTGGTCTCATCAACTTCTGTGCTGTTGCATTAGGCCTGCATGACTTTGGCTATAAAGCTCTTGGTGTAAGACTAGATAGTGGTGATTTGGCATATCTATCTAATGTAGCTAGAGAATATTTCAACAATATTGGCAATAAATACAATGTGCCATATTTTGGTAAATTGGTAATTATGGCTTCTAATGACATCAATGAGGAGACCATTTTGAGTTTGAATGATCAGGTATGATTTTGTTTTTAAATAGAACCTACAATTTAAACACATATCCATTTATATTAAAAAATGTAAAAGTATAGGAGTTATGTTTTATAAACAATATTATCCAAGTGTCCATTTCTAGAAATGACCATTATTCAACAAACCCTTTGGCACCATTCAGACCTAGTTGCACATACCTCATCTGTGATTTTTTTAATCAATTTCATTACTGAAGAATCCTAATAAAATGGCATCAAGCAGGTTAACCCTACACTTCCTACGCAACGCGCTTATCAGTACATAAAGGAATATGTTCAGCATAAACTAGAGAAAAAGGTCAGTCAAACTGGTCCATACAATTAGTCCATAGATAATCCTTCCCTGCCTTACCGGTAGTGCATCTGGAAACGTCGTCTCCCTAATATCTGACTCTGTTAGAAGTGAACTTCAAAAAACGAAGTTAATGCGGGTGTTACTTTTTTCGTTTTTGCCACGATTTTTTATACATAGTTTCACATCTATTTTCCTTAAAAAATGGTATTCCTAATGAATTCTTGAAAAAAAAAAAGAATTCAGTCTTTATGCGCTAACCTTACCAGGCCTTTTTCTCTGGATCGATTTCCAAAAACTACAAAGTTATTGCGTCCTTGGCATAGTAGTAACATTGTTAAATTTTTTTATTGAAATCCGAGCTGTACTTCTCAAGTTATAGGCGCTTCTAAAATTATTGTTTTTCCGGAATGTACATGTAACATAACATCCAAAAAACATACTGTATCATTTTCGAAATTTGCTTCCTCGCCAGTAGGCGTGGGAAGTAAGACATAAAACAGGGTTAGATTGCATGATCTCGCAAGCTAGCAGTCATGACCACTGTAAGAGATTGCAGTTTGCCTCACTATATCTTAACGGAGCCATATTTTATTGAAAGTACACACGGTTAAGGTGTATATTATCGATCGCCATTTACCATTCCACCATTGTACTTTCATAGTATGTTTGCACTCCTTTGACCTAAAATGATCCATAATTAACAAAAACATACATTTAAATACAAACCTATTTCGGACATTTCCGGCCAGATGACTGGTGGTGGTATTAGTAATTATTGAAAAAAGCATGAAATCAAATGTGCAAAAGCAATAAGATGATATGCTCATTTTCAATGCAAAAGTTCATAACCAATCTTTTTACGTTTACTGTGAAATTCTTGGATATCTAAATGCACATTTTAATTGAAATCCAAAAGTACCTAACGGAACACCTTTAATAACCAGATTGTTCATTTTAGGATCACAAGATAGATAGTTTTGGCATTGGTACGCACCTCGTGACTTGTCAGAAACAGCCAGCACTAGGCTGTGTATACAAGATGGTGGAGTTAAATGGTGAACCCAGAATCAAGTTGAGTCAGGATGTGGGTAAAGTAACCATTCCCGGCAAGAAAGACGTATACCGCCTTTATGGGGCTGCACACTCTCTTATAGACCTTCTTCAGAAAGCTGAAGAGTTGCCACCAGTCGCGGGACAAAAAACCCTTTGCAGACATCCTTTCCAGGTATTTCTTTTAAACCTATGATTTATGATTGGCAATAATAAATTCATGTTTTTTATTTGTTGATCTGGAGTCGTTCAAGTATATTACATAAGGAGAATTTTCATATTTATTTCCCCTCTCCCTTTGTCAGCAAAAGTAAGCAAACGTCTGCCCCTCTATGCTTACATACGCATTAGTATACACTGAGAACCAAATGTGTCTGATGGCTCCAGTTCAATGAGTTTGAGAGAGAAGTGAGTTTAGACAAATATGTTAGAAAGAGATAGTAGCTGGCTGGATAGCGAAATTCATCGCCGCGTTGTTAATATGTTGAACCAATTCCTTGAATTAAGATGCATGTTAAAAATATGCGTTGGTTTATTCTCTTCGCCCAAATGATGGTTTTATTTCGAGCGTACATATTTTTAAATTGTTAAGAATCTGTTTAGGATCGCTTCCGGATCGATCCTAACAGCGCTCCATTTAGGTCGAACTTAAAGGTCAGGCTCGCAACAAATTCTGCAACATTACATCATTGGTTCGCATGGCAACACCGCATCTCGAACTTTCCAAAACAAGGTTTCGTCCTCCATGATCATAGATGAGCGATTTTGATAGTAATAGTACCCATCTAGTGCTTACTGAGGAGTGTCGTCCTGCTGCGAAATGGTCTTCACCTGCGTACACGCAAGCAGTGATAATTTGTATTGCGTAATGGTATTTGTTACATTTTTTGACCGCTCGCTGTCGCAAAATGTAACAATAACTCAGGATGTGTTTGTCACCGTCGGTGGAAATTAATTTCTAAAATAAATTAAAATACTAATTGAAATAATTAATTCTAATCAAAATGAAAACAAAATATTAAATTGAATGTTCGATCACACCTCCTTCTTGATGGGTTCGACAGTAATCTAACCTATTGTAGCAGCTTGTGCAAACATTTTCTGGTGTAACATAATGGCAACGCGGCAGATTGCACAACCTTCTGCGTCACCGTCGCTAGGCAATGTGGTGATGACCTTCTCTCTTCATCAGGCTTCTATCTCTTTCTAACATTGAACTCAAGCCGTCAAATTTCGTTTTCCGTGTATATTATGTTCTCAAATCTATTCAGGTCTCATGTTGTTGTATTTGCGCATAGTTTGTAGTGTGTTTCCAAAGGCAATTAAGTTAATTCAGAACAAGTAAGATGTATTATGAATCAATAATCAGGATTGATTACTTTTATGTAATTATGTATGTATAATAGGCAACCAAGTAACCATGAAGACTTTGCGAGATTTAATGGAAAGGGTTTTTTATAAAATCTGAGATAAATGAAAACGTAGGAGATTATTTCATACTGTTTCTTAAATTATAGTTCTATATGTTGCCTGTTGATTTAATACTTCTGAAGTCAGGCAAAGGAGATGGCGCATTATTTTAACTTCTTCAGTTTCAGTATCCAACTATAATATCATTGATTATGGTATTCAACTTGGTTTGGTTTTTTCTAACTTAACTGTAAAATAGTGCGCGTGACAGCAAGTAATCAATACAATTGTTTTGGGTACTCTCCCAATATACATTTCACTGTCCAGCATAAAGTTGCCATATTTATTCGAATTAGAACCTACTAAATAAAAAAAAGGAATCGGAAATAGCTAGTAAATATTGCTTACGTATAAGCAAAGGAAAGACCCGCCCCATTCCTTTTGGAATATTTGAATAAACCTTCGTATGCATAGTTTCATCTTATAAGTTTTTCTGACATCACAGCAATAGGTAATCTTTGGAAGTACTTTGAAGTGTTCTAAAGATATTCCAATAACAATTGTGTTTTTAGGAGTCAACAAGGGCTTATGTAATACCAACCAAAGTGGAACAGCTTTTGACTCTCTACTGGCAAGACGGTGAAGTATGCAACAAGCTGCCATCTTTAGAAGAAACTAAAACACATGTAGAAAATTCGTTGAAACTTCTTAGGCCTGATATCAAGAGATCATTGAATCCAACTCCTTACAAGGTCTCTGTTAGCGATAACTTATACTGTTTCTTGCACAAATTGTGGCTTGACAATGCACCAATTGGAGAATTGGCTTAGAACTATTTCCACATCGAGTTTTTTATACACAAATTTAAAAAACACAACGCAAAATGTACAATTACCTAGAACAGCCATGAAATTGATTTGCCTTTTTATTAAAAAATTCTTCATTTTGCCATTTTCCAGGCATATCTATGAATGACTGGTCTCAAAAATGATGTTTTAGGACCTCACGAAATTTAGTTTATGGACATTGGCATTTTTTGTAGCAAAATGTTACGTTATAGAGGTATTTAATAGATCAGAAAATAACTATTTCAATACCAACTTCAGTTTAAGTTTGCCAGGCAAGTCGGGCTTCCATACAATAATTCCATATTATGTGCAGCTAAAGTGTAGTAATAAATTTCAGCACAAAACGTATATTCCATTTTTTTCCATATTTATTTGCCCATTTTTTGTATTTTGGCGAATAAGTATTATTATTATTTTATTTATTAATGCCATATTTTACAATATTTAGTAATTTAGCTTTAGCCTTTTACATTGAAGTCAGGTAGACTTGGCCTAGTAGGCTGTCAATGTAAGACTCAGTTTGAATGTCCTTTTTGTCTATAATCCTTATTTTTAAGTAATATATTACCTATGCTTTATGTTTTTATTATAATGTTTTATAGGGTTTTTCCAAATATTTTCACAGTTTTATCATTACTGAATTTATATGGTGGCTGTGATGATCTAAAACCAGCAAATAATGAAGTATTATGCAATATTTGTTTCATTATAAAATATAGATTTTAATTGTTATAAACAAGATATGCCTTATATTATTATGTAATACTTATGTCCTTGTTAATATTCAAAGATTAAAGTAGTTTCAAAAGTATGCATGTTTTTGTCTGTTTTCTTGAGCCATTTTTTAGAGGTTGATATAGAAAGCACGATGCTTAAGACTGCCTAGATAATATACATAGAGTCGGCAGACCCAGGGACACTCGTCAAAAACATGTTTCTATCGTTTGAAGGGCAAAGGTATGAGGCAATCTATGATTTGTGAAATATGTCTAATAGGTGCGTACAATTATCTTAGTTGGAAGCGTTTTAATATACTAACATCAAAAACGGATACTTTTTTAATTCCTAATTTTTTTTCAAACATGATCCTCTGAAACGTTAAAAAATGAAGTTTGAGCGAAATTTTTTTTCGTTTTTGGCCTTTTTCTCCGCCGAAACTCGACCGATTTTTAAAAACTACACAGCTTTTTCGTCCATGGCATAGTAGTAATCTTCTCTGAAAATTTCATCAAATACCGACTATACCCCATTCGTAGTCCATTTACGCCCAGACAAAACACAACATGCCCAAAAGCGAGATTGTACAGGTCCGTATTTTCCTCAATGATCTTGGAAAAATCTAACAAAATGAATGATTATTTTTATAGAAAGAAGCGCACATTCTTTTCACAATTCATCATTCGTTGGAAGTACTTGAATCATCGTCCAAATGGTTAATATTAATTATTACAGGTTCAATTTGAATATTGATCATATTGTCCAGATCCCACATCTTTGCATCTTGAACGTGACGGATGCAATCTTTCCAATGGTTTGCAGTCATTCTGTTGACAGCTTCATAAAACAAATTTTTCACGTCAGAAAATTTGAATGTTCTATTGTTTGAAGCCACATAGTTTTTTATATTTGCCCAAATCATATCAATGGGATTTAATTAGCAGTGATAAGGGGGTAGCCTTAAAACGGTCTTATTTTGCTTTTAGCTATTTCGTCAATAATATTAAGATTATATTATATTTGTGCTGCCTGACTAGATGGATAAGTTATGCTTTGACCATATTTTCATTGAAACTAATGTCTTTTGATAGGAGCCATTGTGAATTTCTGCCTTTCTTGTGGACATTGTGGGGATTTTTCTAGTTTTCTAATGTCGTCTGCAGCATTAACAGCTACAATGACGGCATTGTCGTCAAGCTTCCATTTCTTCATGGTAGTCGGTCCTTTTCTTTGACTAAAATGTCCATAGGGCAGCGGACAGTTGGACACAAAGCTATTTTCACTCCGAATGTGACAGTTAACAAATCTGTTTGCCTTTTCCGAAATAATTATTTCATATGGTATTCAACAAAACTAATAATCTTTGTTGTGCCGGGCGTATTTCTCGTGATGTACATGGCATGTAACATAAAAAAACATATCATTTTTCGTGATTCCAATACTTTCTTGCCAGTAGGGGTGGAAAGTAAAAATTGTCGCAGAAAACGTGTTTACTAATTAGTGGGCTGCCATCAAGTGCTAACATAACTGTAATCATTTGGGCGTACTAAAAATTAATTTACACAGTAAAATTCCAATCTTCATTCCATTACTAATTGTGTACACTACTATATTAAGTGATTTTCAGACGCACTCCTGTACAACGTTCCGGGCATCACGTCAGTACAATGACAATATATTTTGTTTATCTGTCTTCGAGGTGACAGTTCATTTATTTTTTATTTTATTCCTTAACACACAGTACAGGGTTTGTCCGGAAAGTAATAGGACAGAGTCGATTTAAAAAAATTTATTGAGCCAATCGTTACAATTCTTTAAAAACTTTCAAAATAGGCTCCTTCTGCGTCGATGCAGCGCTGCCAGCGCGATTTCCAAGCATTGAAGGCGTCACGGAAGGCATTCTCCGGAGTAGCCTTGAGAGCCGCGGTGCATGCTGCTTGGATCCCCTCTGTCGTCTCAAAATGCTTGCCTTTCATCGGCCTTTTCAGGCGAGAAAACAAAAAAAAACGGGGGGGGGCACATCTGGGCTGTAGGGCGGCTGCGGAAGAGTTGGGATGCCGGCCTTGGTCAGGTAGCTGTTCACAAGAGAGGCGGTGTGAGCCGGGGCGTTGTCGTGGTGCAACTTCCAGTCGGCTGCGATGTCTTGTCGGACCCGACTGACCCTTCGTTTGAGTCTCCTGAGCACTTCCACGTAAAACTTGGCGTTGACGGTTTGTCCAGGAGGAACAAATTCATGGTGGACGATGCCTTTGATGTCAAAAAAGACAATGAGCATCGTGCTCACTTTGGATTTGCTCATTCTTCCCTTTTTTGGGCGAGGAGACGCCGTCGTGTGCCACTCGGAAGATTGCCCCTTTGTCTCGGGATCATACTCAAAGATCCACGACTCGTCACCTGTGATTACGTTATTCAAAAATTGGGGGTCACTTTCACACATGTTCAGATTTTCTTGGCACACTTCCACTCGCCGCAATTTCTGGTCGTCAGTGAGCACTTTTGGGACCATCTTCGCGCACACCTTGCGCATGTTCAAATGCTGTGTCACAATGTCATGAACCACAGATTTTGGTAAATTTAACATCTGGGCAATTAAATGAATACTTAGTAGACAGTTTGAGTTCAAAGCTTTGCGCACACGAGTCTCATTATCGGTGTTTGTCGAAGTCGAAGGTTTTCCAGCGACCTCTTCCCGGCCCTCCAAAAGAGGCCTGGTGCCACCGAAACACACCACTTCTTGCTAAAGCAACACCTGGGTAAGCCCGCTTAATCATATCAAACGTCTCTGTCGCAGATTAACCGAGTTTCACACAGAATTTAGTCGCGTACCTCTGCTCTAACGAACGCTGCATTTTCGGCTTGCACCACTCACAGAAACACCTCGCGCGTAAATGCCTGTCCTGACTCTCCAAGTGCTCGGAGACGACTGACCAGCCGCTCATTCGTTAGCTAAGAACGCCCTCTACCGAATCCAATCGGTGCGCGCACGCTCCGACGTACAGTCATGGCGGAAGAAAATGAGTCCTATTACTTTCCGGACAAACCCTGTATGTGGCTACAACAGCCTGAACAGTTTTGTACAATGCCGAGATCGCGCCAAGCCATCATTACAATTTTAAGATGGCACCCCATGAATCCAGAAAAACCGAGGATCGCCTAACACACAAAACTTTTTGGTACACAATATCAGGCGAACAGAAAAACTTATACCACCTATATCAAAAAGAAACTTATTTTTCGTCTGTTTCATTGTTTTATTGATTCCTAGAAATGAAAAAAAAAACAGCCAATATACAAAGCAATTAACTTAAGTACAACGCTAGACTCGCTCTTCCTTATTACACTTACAAAACTATACATATACGGTAATGTAACATTCTACGTGTTTCGTATCACATTGAGTCGACAATATATACAGTGTAGATCTTTTTGCTTGCCCGCAAGCATAGTTGACATGAACAAAAATTGGAAAAATGCCTTGTCAGAGGACTTACAAATTACTTCGAGGATACTTCATAATATAAGCAAGTGAATGTAGACAAATACAAAATTACATATTGAAATTGACATTTATGCGTAACTACCTAATTTGCGAAATACCAAAGATAAATAATATGGGAAAATGTTAATGCAAAGTAAAGCGCTGGACAACTATGTTATTGATTATGACTTCATTGCCTATAAAGGAGTTTTGGGTTAATGTACAACACCCTCGTTAAAATAATAGGGTAAACCTCTACAATACGCCCCAGCGGGCAATATGCCTCACAACGCTGTCGCTCAAACAGACAGAGATAGACAACAGGTTGCGACAAGCATGCAATGAAAACAGTACCTCGGCTGTCATAGTGTAATATGTCTCAGTTTTACAATTATATATTTTCTTTTATTTTTTTTTTGAAATGCCGCGAAATTATGTCAGAAAAAGATTACGGGCGACCTGGCCCGAAACTGATCTTAGCGAGGCTATGCAAAAAGTGTGACAGAAGCAAAAGAACGCTTAGACGACATCTTTTGTCTGGTAAATCAAAGTTCCTACTTGGAAGACAACCTATGTTTACTGAAGAGGAAGAGAAGAAGATGGTTGTGCACGTCCTGAAATTATAAAAAAAAATCAGAAATGGCTTATCAGTTAGCTTTAAAGCTGGGTTTTCAAAAAGAAATCCCGAGCGGAGTCAGAGAAAGTCTGAGGGTTTATCACTTGCCAGGGCATATGGGGCTAATCGAAAGGACGTTCATGATTTTTTCACTTTACTGGCACAAATGTATGCTTAAAACGTTCTCAGTTCGCATCCAGATCAATAATAAACCAGGAAAGGTAATTGCAACCAAAGGCTCGAAGGATGCTGACAAGCAGTGAAAAAGGAGAGAATGTCATGGTAATAGCATGCTGCAGTGCTTAGGGGAATTTTATTCCAGCCGTTTTAATGTACTAGGGTACCCATAGTAAGCCTCAATTTGCAGAAGCTTTACCCCCAGGGTAACAAGTATTTATGAACGAGAAGTCTTCCTATGTAAACACAGATCGCTTTATGAAATAGTTTGAAGAAATATTCCTACCGGCTAAAGGCATTGGTAGAGCCCTGTTGGTTGTGGATGGGCACAGTTCTCATAGTAATAACATAAGGTTATTGGAAGTGGCACAAGCTAATAATATGACTTTATTATGCCTCCCTAGTCACACCACACAGCTATGCAGCCTTTGGACAGAGATTTTTTAAAGACCTTTGAAAGTTTACTTCGCTAAAGAAGCCAAATTATGGATGTCATGAACAAAGACAAGAAACTTACTCGGTACGATGTACAAATATCTAAGTTAATCGGAAAAGCTTGGGGGAAAGCTGCAAGCATCGCAAAAGGCGTTTCTGTTTTGAGATCTGGTGGAATTTACCCCTACGACCCAAATGCTATTCCAGAACACTATTTTTCTTTATCTGATGCTATAAAAGATGAAGATTTAGTAGCAAATAAACCTAATGAGGAAGATGAAGTCGTGTCATTTCCAGTGCAGAGGGATCAAAATCTTTTGGACAAAGGGGATATCAATCCTTCAGAAGTACCATCGGCAGATACTCTACGAGGAGTTCTTGCAGGTGATCATCAAATGATAGACGAAGAGGAGACGCATACTAGCAATTGTCGGAGCCAAATATAGTACCTTTGGACCCACCAATTCAACTAACGCCTCCGAAACGTCCTGATATACTCTGCAAATTTCCTCCTCCTTATAGGAACAAATTTTAAAACAATATTAATAAGACTTCGAAAACCGTACCTTAAAGTAAAAACTGAACCAGTTCTTCAAGTGATGAAGTTCCTTCAAAGACAACTGTTATATCAATATAAAATTCCAAATTCCAACCTCACTACTCCAAAATTACCTAATGTATAATTCGTGCTGTCACAAAAGTTCTGTTTAGCAGCTCTTGGAGAAGTTCAATAAGCAAACTATAAAAGTCGGATTCACAGTCAGATATCATTTGAGAATGAATCAAAAATTAATTCACTCGAATTACAGGTACACTTGGGCATAAATGAAGTTTCACTAGATTTGCGAACATGTCTAGCTCCGATACACGATCGTGACCAATATTCAAAAACATTTTTTTAACCCACACAATCTGTGATGGTCTTTGGCAAACTGGAAGGCAATGTTCTCATCAAAAGCAATGCGACTTCAACTCAGTTACAACTTCGGTTGTACCGCTTTTCAGTTCCCGTCAAAGCAACTGGCAGCCTGGAGGTTGTGGACCAAGTCACTGACTATATACTTACTAATAAGAAGGTGGAATGAAAATATACTATTTTGGTTCTGAAAATTCCTGATTAAAACAAAAAATCATATAAGTAACATATATCACGAATTAAATCTGCCCAGATAAAACAATAATTATGTATACAATCCAAAAATCTCAATACATCCCTCCTAATATTATAATGAGAAAGTGTGCATGGCCGAACGGATTTGGATGAAATTTGGTACAGAGATGAAAGTCTAGTATAGCATATAGACGACCTTCTGTCTCGGGAAATAACTTTGAAATATCTACTTCACGGCGGCTTAATGGAAATTGACATGAGGTGTTTGGCACGGAAGCGCTCAACTGCTGGTACGACCGAACTAAGTAAGGGTACATATAAATATGGCATTTACAACGTGCATTTAAGGCAACCCGACTAATATTATAAATGAAAAGTTGCAAATGTTTGTTACCCAATCACGCCAGAACGGCTGAACGGCACGGGTATTACGTATCCTGCAAAGTGACCTTATGTCGATTTTTTTTGACAATGTGTTGTTTTTTTGTGCCATTATGCAGGTTTTTACAAGATGTTAACTTAGCACTAGTCGACGGACACGATGTGAACTCGTTTTGTAGTTGTACGTGTTGCCGAAACGTCATGAGGGAGGTGGTAGACAAGGACCAGTCGACCGAGGCAGTACCACCCGCTAGCTTTTCCCAGGGTGTCTTATAAATGTCCGCATGTTTCCACACCTAAGCTATGCAGTCGGTTATCCTCCAAAACAAAGAAATTAATGATGATGGATCCCTCGAGCACTAAGAACTCCGGACGTAAACTCACCCCACTCTCGGAATGTCCGGGTGGAGGGCGGGCTCGAGGGAACAACATCGAACATAAAATTTGTTTTTCGAACATCTGCGTGATTAACAGCAACATTGATACTGTTCATCACTACCTGCAAACCAATCGTCCAGCTATGCTTTTCTTGGCGGAGACAAAAATCTCAGAGTCTGCACCGATTAACAATCTTAACTTCCCAAACTACGAGGTGCACTCCAATCTGAGAAATAACGAAGGAGTTGTGGCTTTTGTCCACAGCAGTATTTCCTGCTACAGAGTTGTTTCTTTGGAATCAAACCGGAAGGACATTCTGTGGCTTCGCCTCAACTCCAAAACATCACCCAATTTTATTTGCTGCCTTTATCGCTCTCCCTCGGATCATAACTGGGACGACCTACTGGAATACCTTGCCGTCAAGATCGACTTCTTGAACATCAATCACCCCGCTTCAGAGGTAGTTCTCGGTGATTTCAATGCCCATAATGAGCTTTGGTTGGGCTCAAACAAGACCGATGCAGCAGGTCGTGCAATCCAAGCGTTCGCTCTTACTCAAGGGCTGAACCAGCTGGTGACGAGCCCTACTTTTTCCCCCGCGTCTCGTCACACGCCAGTAGCCTGCTGGATCTCTTTCTGACCACGCATCCTGTCCTTACAGCACTGCTGTCCTGTCCCCCTTGGGTAACTCAGATCACAGTGTTGTGGAGGTTAGGTTTCGGTCAGAACCCGCTGTGACAGCAGAAACTCGTACAGGCCGCAAAACTTGGCATTACGGACATGCCAACTGGGAGGGGCTCAAAGACTTCTTCTCTATCTTTCCTTGGAGAGATGTCTGTTTCACTGACGCGGATGCGTGGGCTGTCTGTTCTTCGATAACCGAAATTATCCACGTCGGAATGGAGGAATACAGCCGTCACATAGTGAAAGTGACTAAACCAGGGTCCAACGGATAGTTTAACAAATCGTGTGACACTGCTCGCCAGCAGAAGATCAATGCATCACAGAACCTTCTTACAAAACCCCACTGTACAGAACAGACACGCCGACGTCGAGTCCAGAAACAAATATAACGAAGCGGTTCGCAATGCCAAAAACCAGCACGATATAAAAGTTAGGCACAGGGTAATATCGCAGCGCAATGGCAGTCGGTCTTTCTGGACGCTGGTCAAGCAGATTGAAAAGAACTTGTCACACAGTAGTCTCCCACCACTTACTGTCAGGATGGACCGATTGTATTCGACTCAAAGGCCAAGGCGGAAGTGATAGCCAAGATCTTTGCTGCCAACTCCACCGTGGACGTAACCCCCAACGCCCAAGTGTCGTCAGTTCAAAGGGTTCCCTAGACTATGCGGGAGGTAACATTCAGGCATAAGACCGTACGACGAGTGCTCTTGTCGCTCGACATCAACAAAGCTTCTGGTCCGGACTTGATTCCTGCCATTGTACTAAGGAGGTGTACTGTGGAGCTTGCTCCAGTTCTTTCGCGTCTCTTCCAGATATCTTATGAATCCTCACCTTCCCAAAAAACTGGAAATTTGCTCATGTCCAATCCATCCCAAAAAGGGATCTTAGACCGACCCTTACAGGCCTATAGCTCTGCTTTCTGTTATAAGGAAGGTGATGGAGAGGGGCATAAAACGTAAGCTTCTGGACTACCTCGAACGTCACAGCTTGATTACCGACATGCAGTATGGTTGCCGGCACCAACGATCCACAGGGGGACCTCCTAGCTTACGCCACGCAATTGTGGAGTAAACTCATCCAGGCTTATGGTGAGGCCCATGTCGTTGCTCTTGGCATCACGAAAGCGTTCGATCAGCTGTGGCACGCTACCGCGTTTTCAGGATTTGCTTGCATCCTTCTGTTATAAATGCGAAACTTCTGTGATAATATTCCAAAGGTATTTTATTCAATTCTACGGGCAAAACCTAAGCGATAATTGAACTGTTTGTTGGCAGGATCGCCGACTTGACTTCCAGGAAAGGGCCTCATTAAACACCGTTTAAGGGGAAACGCTTCATCCCCAAGAATAACACATGGAGCTAATTGAGTTGTTCCAGGGAGAAATTGGTCTGGCGGTAAATTCAAACTGCCATTTTCTAAGGCTTTGCCCATATTCGAGTGTTTAAGTATTCCTCCATCACTACTTTTACCGTACGATCCAACATCTACCATAATAAATTTATAATTAGCGTCAACCAGAGCTAAAAGTACCATCGAGAAGGTTTTTTGTAATTGAAATAGAGCCACTGTTTGGCGGGGCTTGAATTGTAACGTGCTTTCCATCCAATGCACCGAGACAATTAGGAAATCTGCAACGATTCCAAAATTCTGTACAAATTTCTCTCCATTTTTATGTTGTCGGAATTGGCATAACTTCCGTTAGTAACTCGTTCACCAAAATTTTACATGTTTCGTGTACAATTTTATGTACCGTTGCATGACCCAAACGATAACTAAAGGAAATGCTTCTCAGAGAGTTTCCAGTCGCTAAATATCTGAATCTGATAATTTTTAAGGTCCATTTTCACAATATTTGGTGACCGAATAGTTCAGGTCAGTTGTCATCGTTTTCATTGTTTTGCAGGTTATTTTCCAATTGAAACCATGAGAATTGACCTGAAGTATTCGGTCACCACATATTGTGAAAATGGGCCTTATAGTCTAATATAAAAATATTTATTTTCAGGTAGTGTTTGCAAAAATAGACGGCAGAATATACGCGACCAATTTAGAAAAAACTTGGCAGAGAAAGTGACTAAAAGTAGACAAGCAGCGGAAAAAAGAAAAAAAATATAAATATGAAGATTGCTTGCAATTTTTAATTCCGTTTTTTTGCCGAGCGAGACACTCTAGTGTCTAATGTCCAGTCTTCGAATTCTGATACGCCTGTGAACACAATACATGAAGAGACTGAAGATGAAGGAAGTCAATCACAAGCAGTGCAACCAACTACGGAGATTTTAGAAACAAGCACGCCCACAGAAAACCAACCGCGTCCTGTAATAAAATCGCCGTCAGTTTCAACCAAAAGGAAACTTCCTGAGCAGGAATCAGCCTCAACTACTTTAATGAAATATATAATCGCTAGAGAAAATAGTCAAAAAACAGAAAATGTTCATCCAGTTGATGCATTTTTTTCTGGACTCGCTGCCACTGTCAAGTCATTTTCCCTATATTACCAACATTTGGCAAAAGGTAGGCTATTTCACGTGGTGCAAGAATTGGAGGAGCAACAACTACTAATAAAGTGTACAACGTAATACCTTTGTCATCTCCATCGCCCGCTGGAACTTCATTAGATTATACCCAAATGTCATCTATGCCAACACCATCACCGGCTGGGACTTCGTCAGATTCTACCCATACGATTCATCAGTTGCAGACATTTGAAGCCAATAACGCTAGACCAAATGAATCAATATGTAACTCTAAACCAAGAGATTATTTTCACAATTTTCAATGAAATTAAATTGTAATAATAAGTAATAATAATTAAAAATAAAATGGTAATCATAATTTAAAAAGGGACTTTATTTCAGTACATAAATACTTGCCTTAAACAAACAGCCAAACGTTCTCTGGGCGAGATCAGTATTTTCCAAAATGTAAGTTGCTTCTCAAGACGATATTTTATTTTATCCAATAAAATATTAAACGAGTACTGCGACATTCTAAAATATTCGGGAAATTTTGTTTCATCGTCCAATAATTCTCTGTATATTGTGAATTCTCCTTCGGTTTGTCTTTTTTTCCACATAGGATGCACACTCCATCTTCTTTGTTTCCGCCTTTTCTGCTATTGCTCTTCCTCTTCATCAAGTAATAATGCCAACACGGTGAGATCTTCTATCCAAGCCGCCATATTTTCAACTATCTTTTACACAGAAATATGTAATAACGTTTTCTCTCTCTCATTTGGCCCTGTACGCATACTGCCACAACGCGGTTGTATGTAAATATAACATTAAAAATACCCGGACTCGGCACTGACACGGAACGGACACGGCACGGATATTTATAAATCGACCTTAATGCTCTTGAGGCTGAAGAACCAACAATATTTGAATCTAGTTCAGCCTAGAAGTTGGAGTATGTTTTATCTAATATAAAAAAAAACTAATGAAGGATTCCATAAATTATATTCTTAAAATGCGGTAGGCTGGGGTTTGAATATTTCTGTTATTTTTATAATATCGCAAATTATTTCACCTATGATCACAAAATTTAGCAGCGAGGTATTTTATGAAAAGGACATGCAGATATAAAATGTGTGTTACTTACGAAATCTCGAAAACTATTTGTACTATGAATATAACATTTGTTAGGAAGGTAGTTTATGGAAGGGCACCTCAGCTAAGAATGGATTTTGAGACAGGGCTGGATTAAGGGGCGGCTATGCGGCCAGATATAGGTAAAAGCGAACATATTCGCACCCGTTAACCAATAAATCTAGAAAATTATCTTACCTATGAACATGACATTTGTTAGAAAGGTGGACAGGACATGTCAGCTGGGAACGGATTATGCGACAGAGTCGGAAAGAGGGGTAGTGACATTTATAAGTTTATACCAAAGTCCTTTGTCAAAATTTTTCAATACAGTTTTTATACGAGTATGAATGAATTTTTGAGGATATGAGTGTCCATGTACATATGACATCTTTCATAAACTCCAAGCCGACTAGTCGCTCTTTTTTGAATATATGTGCTGAGTTGGGTTTTCGGTTGCTTTTAGTGAGAGCGTCCCTAATAGTAGCTTTCCATTTATGCGTAGGCCAGTCAATTCATTGAAACAGTTGACCTCACTTTATCTTGCATTACAAAGATATACTATACACCATGTATCAATGAAACGTAATTTTTCTCCTTTTTGAATATTCATTTGTAAATTTGCAAATAGTGGGTTAAGTCTTACGATCGCATGTCAAGCTTTTAATATGGGCACATACATTCACCGTCATAAAATTCGATCTACTGGGACGACTAAAAGCATAATCGTTTTTATAGTTTCAACAATAAGCTCTACTTTATTAAATATTTATAACGGATTTTGTGCTAGTGAATGTAAAAAAATATATGTAAACTCCAAAGTGAGAGAGCTAACACACTGTACAATATATACAGATATGGTGGACAATCAGCATACGGAATATTTGTTATTTCAAGGATTTGAAGCTGCATCTATCTTGTTATATTCTCAATTCTCTTACACAATAAAAATAAATAGATTTTTGTAGTTACAGAAGTGAATATGTCTAAGCTTCTGTGTTTTATTATTTTCCCATTGAACAAAGCCTAATAAGGCAGCCAATTTTTATAAAATTAGAAAAATGTATAAAAGTTATTAAAATAAGAGTTTCATAAATATACAAAATACAATTTTATGAGTATCAAATTTTCCTCCACATACCGACTATCCACAACATACAGGGTGTTACAAATCAAGTTCTAGCATTTTTGAATGTATCAAATCAAAAGTACGATAGTATTGTTCATTTCAACACAGAAGAAATCCTATCTTGTGAAACCAAACTCAAAGGTACCTACAGCCACTATCAGATCTGTTAGTACGACATCTGTGATATTGATCACTGTATGTCCCACGAGATAGTTTGTTCTAGTTCCATAACATTCTGTATCTGTACTCCCATACAAGAACGACAATTTATAACACCAGATGTATCATCAAATTACATATGTTATAACCTTAAAAACTGATCAGTCGCACTGGGTTTTGGTGATGTTCAGGGCATCGGAAGCGAACCATAGTTTCCCAGTATTAAATCATTCGAGTTCATCTCGTCTCATCCTTTTCTATCTTTTTGCACTCCGTCGGCGTATCTGCGGCCGCCGCGCCATCTGTTGTATGGTAGGCCTACGTTGCAGGTAGCTTGGATTTGTTAGCCACGGTAACGAAAACTCACTGAAAATATTGATGCTTGTGTTTTTAAAAGTATTCTTTAAATTTTTCTCCAATAAAAAGTACCCGTAAAATGAGCAAGTTATACCTAGCTTATTAGCTTTTAGAGGTTGTACGATGTAACGTATAAAAGAGAATTGAAGACACAACTTCATTGTATGGAGAAAATTGACAAACATTTTTTATTGGGACTTTTTGAAATATTTAGTTTAAATAGTTTGTTATTATCTTGTTTTTGCACAAAGTAATCACAGAATGAAAGAATCACTCCCTAAGTTTAGTTTAACGCAAAAAAGTAGTAATTTAAAAAAAAGTGATTAAAGTTTGATCTTCCGATTCATTTGTGCAGATACGTCGAACACAAATGTAGGATTTTAAGAAAAACGGGAGGAGTAGAGTTTGGACTAGTTGGATAGAAAAGTATCTTTCCAAACAGTTGAAACTAATTTCAAACTTGTTAGAACAACTTGTTTATTGAGTCACGATTGCGCAAGAACGCAGAACAATACGCGCATTCGCTATTTGGGGATTGGGAAATCGCACGCCCGTGTATCTACAAGAGGAGCAAATACGCCCAAAATCGCGGAGAAGAAGAGCAATCATTTTTTTCGTTTTTGGCCCTTTCCTCCGCCGACACTGAACCGATTTTTAAAAACTACACAGCTTTTTCGTCGATGGCATAGTCTTCTCTGAAAATTTCATCAAAATCCGACTATACCCCAATCGTAATCCATTTACGCCCAGGCAAAACACAACATGCCCAAAAGCGAGATTGTCTTGGATCAGTCCAAGAAAATAAATGTTTATTTTATTAAATGTTAATTTGTATAGAAAGAAGTGCAGATACTTTTCACAATTCTTTATTCGCTGGAAGTACTTGAATCATCGTCCGCATGGTTAATATTAATTATTACAGGTTCAATTTGAATATCGATCATATTATCCAGATCCCACATCTTTGTTTCAATTGTCTCTTGAACGTGACGGATGCAATCTTTCCAATGGTTTGCCGTCACTCTGTTGACAGCTTCATAAAAGAAATTTTTCACATCAAAAAACTTGAATGGTCCATTGTTTGAAGTCACATAGTTTTTTATATTTGCCCAAATCATTTCAATGGTATTTAATTCGCAGTGATAAGGAGGTAGCCTTAAAACGGTCTTATTTTAGATTTTAGCCATTTTGTCAATAATATTAAGATTATATTTATATTTGTGCTGCCTGACTGTGTGGTGGAAACAATTTTTCGTCTTCAATGTAGAAAATTGTCTTAGGACATACACCTGTTTTGTTCGCTACACGTGTTTCAATATCATGAATTTTCATTTCAGGATGCTCTAAAATTTCCTTCTTATCAACTTTACGGTCAATTTCTTTTGTGTGAATATTCAAATATTCCTTTTTGTCACCTTTTCAGGGAAGAGACATCACTGAAGAAGAAGCATAGCTGAAGGGGGCATTGGGAGAAATATTCTCAGTTTCATCTGCTGTATCCGTAGACAACATGCTAAAGTATAAACACACGCTATGTATGAACCGAATATGAACAGCAACTGCCGGCGTCGGCGTGCCGGCGATATCCCGAGCCTGAGTTCAAACCTGTCAAATCCTGCACTTGTTCGTAGTTTTATGGCCGAATGACAAATAGCTACTGCAACACTTAGGCGGCTGCCGCTTTGCCGCGCTGCATATTTGTTGTGCCGGGGCGTAAATGGACTATGAATAGGGTATAGTTCTCTTTCCTGAAACACGCGTGAGAGACAAAGATAACTAAATCAACCGGCCAGTTCACGACTTATTCTGTTTCACTTTGTTCTATGACTATGAATCCATGTCTACCAAGCTACAATTGACATAAAGGTGTAGAGATGGGTCAGCGTAGATGCTTTGTGGAGATGGTTGTGGCATGGGGAAATAAAAAGCTACAGGAAGATAAAATGGTTATTTAGCAGTTGACAGTAGTGATGACCCCAAAAATACCTAATGATTTTATTTTAACCCCAGAACGTTTTATCTCACAAAAATTTCCCAAGAGACGTAAGAATCCCCCAAATGTGGCCACTCTTTTTTAGGGTAAAATCGGCTTAATATTTTTGGTAGACACTGGAAAAATAATTATCTGATTTTTTGGCCGCCATCCTTTCATCGCATACTTTACCTGGGTTGCAACCTGGGCATGGGGAGTCCAAACGCAGCTACGGGTAGCCGCTCACACACCTCCAGGTACCGTACGTCATCCAGCGATGGCCACAGCGAGTGCAACTGGTGTTTGTGGTCGTGGTCGAGGTTGCAGCAACCACTACCTCCTCCGCCTCCCGTCCCGGTGCCATCGCCACCACCGCAGTACCCGAAGCTGACGCGCTCCTGCCGCTGCTTCAATTTCTCGATCACGCGTTGTTCACGAATACGCTGCACGTCCCACCTGCAACAGCAATTCAGAATTAATATTCCATTAACTGTCCGCCAAACTTCAGCGAGCCAAATAGCTGATTTTCTCTGCATACTCCGTGATACTACAGAGCAAAATGACGCCTCCGAGGGAATATAATATAGATATGACTTACGAACTTTCTTCAATGGAACAGTGTATTTTTCAGACAGCGAACATATTGTGAAGTGGTGTTTCTAAATGTTATGAAGTTTTTAGTTTTCTGTACTTACCGCTTCCGCCTTCTTTCGTCATTTTCCAGTCTTAAATGTCTTTTGTTAAACACCTCATCATCAAGGTTCTCGGTGCCCTCCATTGTATACAAACTAGCGTAAATTTTATGACGCCACCGAGGTACCTGTAAAAACAAAATTCTAAGAGAGCACAAACTACCGGGGCCTGAATTTCGACCCTTGAAAATAATTTGGATGCCGCCTTGATATCAAACATTCTGATCCAGAGATCAGCAGAATCAATGTATCAAAAAATTAGAGTAATGCATGGCGACATCGAATTTAATTTTAAAGGTGGAAATTCAGTCAAAATTAGGCTACAGGTAATCGATTATCAAACCGTGAAATAGTAAATATTGTACCTCTAGTGTTGCTGTAGCATGGGGAATATCAGGATCTGGCAAAGCGATACCCAGAGTGACGTCATGCGCCTGGGTGAAGTAAGGCTCCGTGGTTGTTAACATCTGCACGTCTTTTGTGGATCCTGTAAATTGTAAATCAATTTCCTGTAATGTTTATTGTTGGTGTAGCACGAGCAATAAAAAATACAGAACTTTTAAAGCTATCACAGTGATATAGTATTTTTATTCCTAACTAGCTTTCTGCCTTGCGGTTTTTCCCGAGGAACGTGTAATTGGCCCCAATAATAAAGTAACCAAATTTCTCAAGCATGCAAGTCGACTGTTAATTTGCTAATGCAATCAAAAGGTGATTGGAAGTTTACAGAATTACTTAGAACTGTGTTTTATGTTAGTAACAGTTTTTAGCAGACGAAGTCTCGGGTAAAAGCCCGTGCAAAATGAAGCGTCTGTATTGCTTGAAGGTCATAGGTTGAGTGGTTCGATGGCAGGCCGCACTGTTGCGGGCTTGACGTTGATGGTGGTGATTTGGAACTTGCCGCGACAGTTGATTACAAAATCTTCGGGTGAGTAAGTGTAATTTTTTTACGTCTCATCATATTATGGTTGAGGTGATGCTGACAGTCCGGAGATTTATAGAAACCAACCACATATAAAAAGTTGGCGTTACATAAGTTTTGTAGGAGACACACTTGCAGTTTTTATTTCTACATTCTGTATTCCTGAGTATCCTTGATTATTTGAAATCTATAAACACTCAAATGAATTGAGAAACAATGTACTCACGTCGCTTCCTCTTTTTGTATCTCCTCTGGTGGTAGGTGTTTGAATTGTTGTGATGATTAATAGTATCCGGGGCAAGTGGGGTGGGCTCAACAGCAGCCGGAGGCGTCGCCATCACCGTTGTCGCCCCCTGGCGGTGGTTATCCGCACCGCCACCACCGCTACTCGCTCGCTTCCTACGGATGCTCATCTTGAGGCCCCGCGACAGCCGTCGGGAGCCTCGGTGTGGTCGGTGAGGCCCCGTCCCTGTCGGCTCTTGTCCTCCGAGGAACGCCGTCGTTGTAGCCGCTGTCGCCACTGTGTTGGCCCCGCCGGCAGTCAAACTCTCGCCGGCGCTTATCGATATGCTATCAAAAAGCATTTCCGTTTTGAATCCATTATGAATAAGCCGTTCTTAAAAAATTGCATAAAGCAGTGTAAATTGCATCCGACTCAACTTTCGTATGCTCTGGTACCTTTACCATGGAAATTCTTAGAGAAGGTGATATTATAAAAGAGATATAAACGAATTGTTAATTTATGTTTTTTAAATAATTTAATTAATTCTGTATACATTTCCTGCACATATATGCATACATGTAAGTAAAAACAAAGACATACAGATGCGTTTAAAAAACAGACGTTCAAATTTGGGAGTCCACAACATATATACATCCAATGAGCATTTAAAACAATGTGGAGAAATTAAATAAGTAGAAGCTACACCCACATAACGTAGAAGCTACACCCACATAACAATAAAATACCTAACGGAAGAAGATCAATTAAAATAGCATTTACACAGACGTTAAGAATTAAGTAAAAGTACAAAAATTACGCTACGATTAAAAATTAAAAATCGATAAGATAATGCATTTCTCATTCCTCGAAATACCTTTATATTCGCATATTCTATTCCTTATTTCACACATCAATAACTACTGCCTTAATGTTGATACTCTATTTGATTATTTATACTCAATAAATCATATAGCCATGTTAGTCAGAACAGGTAAAAAATGCATCCCATAGTTTCTCCTGAGAGGGGCAGCAACTAGCACACAATTTCATATGAACTCAAATACACTCTCCCCTACTCCTCACCTCTCAATTTTTTACCCCTCAATTATTTTCAAAAAATGGATAGGAAACATAAAAATGAGATTAGAGCGCTTTTCCTTCGTGTTTCAACCCCAACTGGACTAATTTCAAAACACAACAAAGCTTTGTCGCCCTTAGCAAAATAGTAACCTTACGAACCGACGGAGATGTTATATAATATTGGAGAAATATAATATCTCATTTTCGAATTACAATACTCCCTTGCGAGTCGCTTGGAAAATACAAATCGAAATAGCAATATGAATGAAAAGTGTCAAAAACTGCCCTCTAGTGTAGAGACCAGCAACCAAGACAATTCAAAACTAAATTAGCTGGTAGTTATGTGTATCAAAAAGTTCCCGTACTAGATATGAAACTTACCAACAGGTGACAGCTCAATCCTATATCTGATCACATCATGAAGTGGTATGCAAAGTTTTGTTTTACCAGAATCTCATTTAGTTTTTTAAGGGTTCGATTGATTTTCTCTGCCTGCGATTTCGATTATCAACGAAAAGTCTGAGCAAAGAGCAAACATTAAAATTTGCGTGGAAGTTGGAAAATCACCTATCGAAACAGTAAGTAAGCTTCCACAACTTTATGGTAATGAAGTGACGAGTCATTCTCATTTTTTTTAATAGCGTGGCCGATTTCAACGAGGACGAAAACCCTGCGATTCTTCCGTTCGTTGTCCCAGAGACGTGAGACCAAACCTAAACCATGTTGATGAGTGTATATCTCAAAAACTATTAACTTTAGAGGTTCATAATAAACTATTTTGTTCAGACTGACCCAAAAAATTTTTTAAAAAATCTTTGTCTAGAGCGAATAATTTGTTTTTTTAATTCGTTCAAAAAAAAGTATGAACAATTATTGACGTAATTTTCGGCATGGTAACATGAATAAAATTATGCAGAAATCCGAATCTGAATATTTTTCCGACCAGAGCGAATCTACTTCCACCAACATACTAATCTAGTTTTGAATTCTGCTGGTTGTCGTTCGCCGACTCTAAAAGTTCAAACACATTTCGCGCTAAAGATAAGATTTGTAGGATGATGCAAAGCGTGAATCTACTATTGCCCTGATGATTAGGCTGCCGACATTAAATTATGTTCATGTGCCATCTTCATTCGAAGAAAAAAAAATTTCTTCGCCAGTGGGGCATACAGAACCTTAATGCAGGTTCTCTGATCTCTCCAAAAACGTTTTTTTCATCACATGATGGATATATTTCATTGTTGCAGTCATTTATTAACCACGTCAGACACATATTCATCAATAAATAAGACTATAGTACATATTTTTTTCGCGATAACGATTGCTTTTTGGATGTACAATACGCTAGGATTTGAAAATTGGTTTAATGACAAATGTTTGCTACTTCATGTAAAAATGTTACAAACTAGTTTACCTGTAACTAGCGTGTGTTGGTATCTGATTTTGCCCAACACTAATACTTGCAATGTCAGATGGTGCCGCAGCAGGTACAGATTCAAGCTGCAGAGGTGTATTTGCAGCCAGCTGTTGCTCTTGGAGTACTTCTGCTTTAGCTTCGTCGCCGAAACTACCGCTCTTCTCAAATTCACAGTCCTCTTCTTCTTCTTCCACAACTTCTTTACAACCTGAGATGCTGTTCTGCTCTCCTTGTTGAGGGTTTGCAGTCACTTCAGCCTGTGTTGTTTCTTGGATGCCAACCTTGGTTAGCTGATCACATCCTACCAATACCGCGGGACCCTTTTCCTCTAATACGCATGCGCCCTGGAATTAAACTTTATATCAGTAATGTTCTAGCATCATATTTCTAACGGTATGACATCAACTGAGCATGCACAGATATCCAATCAAGTGATGACGAAAATATTCTGCACACACTGCTTCATAATTGAAAAAAAAGAGCATTACATAAATGGAAGTGAATTCATGAACATGGAGAGTGACTTGCAAGTGGCTGAATATATCCCAACCAGATACGAACACAGCATGTTCTCCAAAAAGACGAAAACTGTTTTTTCTACATAATAAGACATTTAATCAAGTCCATAAGCATTATATCTCAAAATGTCAAAATGTAATTCAATCGCCTAACAACGAGGAAAGCAACAAAGAATTTCTTTTAATTGTTAAATACAATGCTGCCACTCTCAAATCAAACATATTTTGACAGAAAAATGTGTTTTAGCAGAATCGAATTTGAAACTGATACTAGTTTTTTCTCAATGCATGCGCTATGAAGGAGTTCACAATAGGGTGTCAAACCATTGGAAATGTGATGCTACATCAAAATCAAGAATAGTGACTCAAAGGTAGGGCAAATAATATGAAAATGAGTCTAATAGCCTTTTCTTTGGATGAAACTAGTGTTGTACTGGTACATAATTCATGTTCTTTTGACAAAAGCAGCATATATACTCATGTTTGAACTAGCTATATACTCCGACCAAGGATATCAGATGTCGTGGAGGAGCTTGTGTTAGTGTTGTCAACTGTTGATAGCGTCACATTTTAAAGAATTTACGTGTCGCATTGTGTACAATTGTTTAAAACCAGTTTTATCATGATTTTATTTTTTATAAAGTTAACAAAATCAAACAAAAATTTTCAATGGCAGGTGATAGCACAAAACACAAAATATTATGTTTCTTTGGGGGCAAATGTTAAAATAAACGAGGTCGGAGTGTTTCATGTACAAAAACTGTACATGTTTCATCAAGACGCTATAAAGAAATTCTGACCAGGTACAGGTGTACGATTTTCCTTGACTATGAGACTTTGAATGTGACCTTGACATTCAAGGTGATGTCTATTCTTCAAATATGGCCTATATTTGACACCAGAAATGAATGCATCATAAAATACTACATTTATTGGTCTTAAATTTGACCTTGAGTATTTCAGGATCACGACCTATCTTTCAAATGAGACCCTTCCACGGAACAGGTGCAATCTAGAACTTTTTGAGGGAGAGAAAAGATGAGTATCTATCATGCTTTGAAGTCTACTGGGGTGAACAGCTGATTGACTGGTGACATTTTTGTGTTAGTGTGCAACCCTGGCTATTATGAATCGGTTGTAAATCTAGCAAATAGTATGAAAATGTTTGTTTTTTGTATGCAAATGTACTTTTCTAAATAAATGAGCTTTTTGCAAGTACAAAATTAATCTGTAGCGTACAAAAAACCAAAACAAAATAAGGCTCTGTCTACCTGGGATCGACGGATCCGTCAGAATTATGTGTCCTTTGCCAATATGGGGAATATTGAAATATTACTAGATAACCAGCTGTCATTCTACCGTGCTGGATACTCGTGAAATAGGGTTTACAATAATTGTAGGAACGACTGACAATATGGCCCGAAGAGGTCTTTCATGGAATTACCCTTGAAATGGCAAAGAAAAAAATTCAATGTCGCAGTTGCAGCCAGATAGCCAGGAAAAAGTCCTAAGCCTATGCTTGGCTAGAATTTCTATTAGACTCATGGTTTTTGAGGTTATTTTTATTATATAATTGATTGGATATTACTCCTTGACAAAGGCCAATGACACTTTTTTTGGAAGACTCATCCGAGCATGAAATCTTCCACTCTATGCATTTATAATGTCAAAAATATATAGTCCCATTTAAAAAAATGAGTTTGACCTTAAAAATTCTAAGGTCAAATTCAATGTTACCATCAGATAGGCAGTGGAAAATCCTAGGCCTATACTTGAGCAGGATTTCTTTAAGAGAAAAACATGTATCAATTAGAGCCACCTTGACCAAAAGTCACATAAATGAAAAATGATCTATTTTCAGTGCCAAAAATATAGGATCTCATATGAAAAAACCTTAAAGGTCAAATTCAAGGTCACTGTCAGATAGTCAATGAAAAACTGTACCCCTGTGCCTTGATCAAATTTCTTTTAGACCCATGGACTTTTTGAACATGTATATTTTTTACAAATCTTTATCTGCTTCATAATTAGGTTTCTGACACTTTTCAATCTCATAAAAAATTACCTCAGATGCAATACTAGTTCTACTGGTTTCTTTAGTACAATTGGCTATGTTGTTGTTACTGCATGGCCGACAAGGCCCCTGTGTCATGTCCAACACAATTCCTACAGTCTCTGAATTTGTTTCAAGCTGTGCTTGCTGTTGATCATCAATAGGTTGATTCTGTTTTTCAGTGTCTGGTTTCTGATTGCAGTTACTACAAAGATTGGTGCTGTAATTCTGATTCAGCAATGGTGCAGAACCAGTAAGGTTGCCACTGGGCACCAAAGGAATAGCAAACTGTGTAGGAATTCCTTTCTCTATGCACAATATTCGCTCTCTTAGCTGAAAAAAAAGGCTTAGTTTAAGACACAAGAACAAAAAACTAAGGGTTACAAAATATTTATTGCCTCAAAAACTATGCTGCAAATTTATAAATATGTTCTGAGTCATCATCTTTTTGTCAACACAGGATTGCCTGACAATATCGACTGTGTTAAATTTAGTAGAGTATCTTCATGTGTATGTGCGTGTGTGCAAGAGTGACTCAAAGGTGCACTGTGAATTGGCTTGATATTTTGCTTAGGAAGACTAAGCCCAGGTCATGGTATAATTGCTCAACCTGTTTACTTATTTAGTATATTATTGTGATGTACTTGTCAATGACTGTAAAAAGAACATATATTATATGTCCAACTAATGAGAACTTTCCTAAAAGTATCTGTATTAGAGCTCTTCTTTCACAAGGCTATTCTTAAATACTGAATGATTCATTAAGAGTGCATGTTTGTATTATCACATCATTGGGAAATCACCCTGTAGAGCACCATAATGTATGTGAGCATACAGTCACCTATCATAAATTTGTAAATAGCTTCTTGAACTATCGACCGATTATAGCATATTCACTCTATTTATGTGAAAATTTCGTAGGTACATGTATCATTAAAGGGTCGGATAACCGTTATTAAAATTTTCAGAATTTTCAGTTTAAACGTCCACAACCTTGACAACAGCGCGAAACAGCTGTCAAATTGTAGCAATAACAAATAATACAGGCTCAACCCGCAACGTTGTCTAATCATGACAATTGCAACGAAATTTAGCAGTCGATATTTGTCTTATTGCACAACTAAATCAACATTCACGTTGTAATCACTTTTATACTACTACTTACTACGATTCCGAAAAGACACACATATATCAGGATGTAAATTAAGACAGAATGCTTAATATTTGCAAGGAAATTAAGAACACAGCAATCTGAATAATATATTGCAATTGGTCGATATGGCAACCCCGCATGTAGGTCAAACTGCTTCAAATTGCAAATCTAGCGTTTTTAATAAAGAAAAGCCATTAAAAGTAGGAAATAATGCCCCAAAACGGATTGCAGACGTAATAACTTACATACTACGATAGGTAAACAAAAAAACAGACGTACACTTTAAGTTGAAAACAGCCGTAAATGGCCGACAACCGATCACTGTCAACGGCAAAACGAACATCGAATGCAGCCAAGGAACAGCCGTTGATAAAAGTTTTGTGTAGGTAAAAATGTGGAGATTTGGACTCGTGTTGAAATCACTCACCATTTCATTTTCTTTTCGAAGCAGGTAGATCTCACGATCCTTGTCCAGGATATCATCGTTCTGCTGCTGTATGAGGTCGGTGTGAAGAATAAGCCACTCTTTGATGAATTTAACCTCACTTTCGAGTGTTTGACAGCCGCCGCTCGTCACAGCTGCCGACGATGTCAAGTCTTGTTGCTGTTTATAATTTTATTATAAAGATCGGGGTGATTAGAACTCTATCTAGGTGGTTCGGCTCGGGAATGAAGAAATAAAATGTTGGTAGTTGAAATCAGTACAAAAAATACGGTTCAACGTACACGTATTGATTATATTTTAATTTTCGGCATTCATGCCCACGTTGCCAGAATGGGAGATTTATTCCAGATTTACGAAAATGTCCAGTAGACAGATTCATTGTCGTTATATATAGACTTTGCTTTGCTACGAATTTAAGCAGATAAATGTATGAATTTGCGGATCAACTGGAAATAGATATAAATTCTATAATGGATATTAAAATCAAAAATTTTAATTTTAAGAAATTTCACAATGGTAACTTTCGAAAGAGATCTGGCAACCACGCAATATGAACAAAAGCGCATTGTGAGGTGCGTACCAGTGTTGCGATGTGGTTGCAAAATCCGGAAATGTTTTCTATTTCTGCGATTCTAAAAACAAGTTGTATATGAAAAAAATGTGGGAACACCAGAAAATTGTCAGATGCTGCTTGAAATGAATATGTTCGTTTATATCTTATGCTAACTTATACTTCAATGTAATAGCAGCTTTTAACAAGGCTAGTCGTATCAAATATGTACTAATACAGCTGAGATTTAAAATTCATGATTGTAATAACATCAAGTTACTATTATTTACATTCTTTTACTTAGAAGTGAACTCAATACATAAGTTTGCAAATTCACCTTAAGAGTGTGAGAATATGATGATGCTGTGTTTACATCAATGATATTGGTGTCACTGCTGTGGTACATATGATCGGTGACACTTGTTTCATCACTGCTTTCTTCACCTGAATTAGAATTACCAGATTCAACCTCCTCTGCACTATCCAACTCCTGTTCAACGAAATATGTCAGGCTACTCTTCCTGTTTTCATCATGAAAGTCTTCGCTCATCTTCGTGTTAACTTGCTCTATACACAGCCCTATATCAGGGGCATTGTTTAGGCATCTCATACTACGATACGCCACCAACACACTAAACTTTTGTTCTCATCAATCTTCCTATATTTTTAAAGATTGAAAGATGCGAGCGTCTGCAACTAGTATTTGTTGCAAAATTGTGGTTCTTCATCATAGCTCAACACAACTTGATAAAAAACGCTTGGATAACAAGCTAAAGTGAGGAAATTATAGCAATATAAGTAATTTCTTCTAGCACTGATCACAAAATTAATTAAAAGGTGGCAAGTCTATTTTTGTACTAAGAGAGCTAAGTCGACTGCATTTAATATTTTGTATACGATGAATTGGACTATTGTTTTTCTCTGTACACAATTCACAAGCATAATTAGTTATTACTTATAAATTCAGGTACAAAATCCGAGTAAACAGCACCACAACCAAACAACCGAGACAAGTAAAAAAGTTTGACAATCCGGCTGCCATCTGTCATGATGCCGCCAATCAACCCACCGTTGCCAAGCTCATTGTGAAATTCAGGGAAATTTGTTGCCCTCGTTTGGCAAGTGATGTGAGAGAGTCTGACATAAGGCTGTCAAATCTGATGCTTGGCAAGAAATCTCATAATATTTGAGAATTCGATTACCCATAGTTCGATTCTAATCCGGTTTTTCAAATTATCAATGCTTGTTTTGAGGAAATCATTAACGATTTTTGATTGCAATATGCAAATAAAAAGGTAATTATTCATCCCACCCGCAATGTGTAAGTACTGGAACATCTTTAGAATACCAGAATACAGACAAACCCATCTCAACAATTCAAATTTTTGCGGGAAAGTTGCCTGGAGCTCCAGCCTTTGGAAAACAAATGAAACAGTTGTTTTGTTTTGTGGTGCTTCAGGTCCAGGCGCCTTTGATATTGTGAACAATAGTTGTGACAATTGGTGAACTGTGAACTTCTAACAACTCAGAAGTGGTCTTTTCCCGATTTTCGCTGTTTCTTCTGTAATAAAATGGTGCGAACGGGTGGTGGAATAAGAAGTAAGGATATTTTTGTCTTTAAAGTATGGTTCAATATGCTAAAACATTTATTTCAGTTAGTGGCGGAAAATCAACAAAAAAAAGTGGTGGAAGCACAGCATCGTCTGGTAGTAGTAGTGGGTCTAACAGATCTGGTTCTCAAGCTTCAGGTATGTTCTTATTTCATTTCAGCAATAAACTGCTGCAAGTATTCTAATGCGCCAGGTTTCATAATTCAAGAATAGGTATAGCCAGGCGTCTTTTTTTTAAGATTGCACTTCTTTTGAGAACATTATCTGGTGAGGATGGGATAGGTTTGTCGTTTTTTAAGCAATTTTCAATTAGCTGTTAGATTTGATAGTATGTTGAAAGCTGTCAAAGCTATTCCATGGCTACAACTATTCAGCATTCAGAGCTGCACTGCTTTACGTTGGTTGAACACTCACAATTATTACAAAAAACCTACTCTATTTTCTTACAAGTAGTTCATCAGTTCATAGTTTATTTATAAATTAAACTTACAATTTTGTAAATATGGTGGTGCTAACATAGTTTTTTTATATGCACCTATAGTCATTATATTAAAGCACCTAGCTGAGTGATAAGCTGCATGTGCTCAAAATTAACGGTTTTATCATATGTGCACTGTTTAAGTAAATATTTTTGATTATTCAAAACACAATCAATAACTTTGAAATTGAATACATATATAAGATGAAGGATATCTTATTTTTTTTTGTAAATATTTTTAAAATTAATTTTTCAGTTATAATATTCCATAGTTTTAATATTGCTGTACATACCAACCCTGACTAGAATTCCATATCAAATTAGCTATTTTATTAAGTATTTATATATCACCAACAAGACATTTTTTATAGCATATCCTGTAGAAGATAGAATTTCTGAATTAATTTAAAAATATTATTTTTTAATTTAATGACTTAGTCTCCCCACTTTGAATGTTTGTCTACCATTATCTCTAAATACTTTGTACTAGAAACCTCCAAAGTATTATTTTCAAAATTCATCAACAAGACATTTTTTTATAGCATATCCTGCAGAAGATAGAATTTATGAATTAATTTGAAAATATTATTTTTTAATTTAATGTCTTAGTGTCCCCATTTTGAATGTTTGTCTACCATTATCCCTAAATACTTTGTACTAGAAACCTCTATTTTCAAAATTTGGAATAGAAATTTTAACAAAACCTGATTGACTTGCAGATAATGCAATATAGTGCGTTTTCTTTAAATTATATAATAATAATAATAATGATTGGTCTTTAGGGCAAAGTTTATCCTTTGGCTATTATTCCACTTAACACATTTAAAACAGAACATTTTATAAATTTCATATATGTACAATGTGTCTGGTGGTGTAACAGAAATAAAAAGTAAGTAATAGCAAGCATACAATTTACACTTTTAAAAAAGTTTTTGGTACAAACTGGAAAAATCAGGAATATTCATAATAAAAAGATTCTAACAGTAGAGGACATAAATAAATAAATAAACAAATGAGGCACTACTTATAGTATTAAATATAGATGAAAAACATTGAGAAAGCACTACAAAATATGAAGAACGAGTACGAAGTACGTGAACTCTGAAGTGTATTATTGAAATCCTTATTATTCACTCATGTACAGATTTGATCTCTCGATTTTTTTTTGTCCGACGCACGGTTTTAACTAATTGATTTTATTAAATTTGTTATTTAAATATTCTCTTGCTACAACACTAAAGTGAGCGAGCGGGACGTCATGCATGAACCGCACTCTGTAAAATTAGTACTTCTTCTTCTTACCTATATTGCTACTCTAGAAACCTGCGATAATTTAGCCATTCTAGTCAAAGGTTCCATTAAATAATTCCAGCCCAAACATTTACCCAAAATTGTTCTCCATTGTTAAATTTTACAACTGTGTATAGTTATGGTAAATATAGTTATTATGCAAATTTCTGATTGCGTTTTTGGAAAGGTTAGCTTTTCCTGTAAAGATTATTTTACGGTCAAATACGGCATTATGCTCAATTTTCTCCAAAGACTATTGACAAAAATTAATGCACAAACAAAATAATGACTGTGATAATGACAACCACCTTGACAACAAAATCAATAATCCTTAAAGCTACCGCCTACTACAGTGATAAGTAATAATTCTTTGCTTCTTTAGTGAATGTTAATGTTTTACTGAAAAACTTCCAAAATACGAAGAACAAAGACGAAGTACGTGAACTATGAAGAATATTTTTGACATCCTTATTCTTTTATGAACAGATTTGATCTCTTGATTTCTTTTCGCCAGATGCACTTAAAAAATAACATTTAATCCCCATGCTTGTCTGGCCAATAAAACCACATGTATTGACATATCTTCTTTACTGTAGTAAACATTTCAATCACAAAGGTGATCTTCTTCAGTATAATGACATATACTCAGTGGCATTACAAGTGTTACACCCAGAAAAAATTATTTGATTTTTTGGCAATGAGGTAGTCTTACATCAAGAATGAAACGATAACATTTTCACGAAATTTCATTGACATGTAATAATAAAAAGAAGTTAGTAATGTGTTGGTCGACCCCGCAGCTGCATACACTCCTGTATACGTCTAGGCATCGACAAAATGAGGTGATCGATGTCTGGTTGTGGCACCTCATTCCAAGCAACTCGGACTTCGTGCATTAGCTGTGGCAGAGTCTGTGGCGGATGGTGCAAGTGTATAGTCTCCTCCACATCATATCCCACACATGTCCGATGGGATTTAAATCCGGTGAACGGGGTGGCCACGTCAAAACATTAACGCCTGCTTCTTGAAGAAAGTCCGTAGGTCGACGAGCAATATGGGGACGTGCGTTGTCTTGCTGAAAAAGGACGTGTGGACGGCACTCTAGATAACGCAGTAAAGAGATAGTCTTCCATAGGCTATAGCCTCCAAACCGTTATTCCAACAGTCCAATATCACGCCGTTCTCCACGGCGGCGTCTTACCCTTCTACGTATTTTCGTGCGTACCTAGACAGAATCGCGATTAGTCGCTGAAGATGATATTATGACATTCTGCCTCCCAACGTTGGCGATCTCTGTGTTCCACTTCGAACGTTGATGACAGTGGTCCGCAGTTAGAGGAAGCACTAACCGTGGACGGTATGAAAAAGTCCAAAAGCTCGAATACGGCAATAGAGTGTACGCATAGTAACAGGTCTACCTTCTTCTCCAAACCATTGCTCAGCGATCTGACGCTTAGTAGCAAAACGGTCTCGTAGGGCTAGTTGTGTGAAGTACCTATTTTGTCGCTCTGTGGTACGCCTCGGTGGACCAGTTGGCCTTCTTTGTGTTCCTCTACCTTCTTCTATCCATTCACGACATACACGCATTACCGTCATTGAAGTACAATTAACACGGCGGCCAATTTCGCGATAGGCAATCTATCTTCTACCCCTGTCAAAGTTGGACGTCTTCGAACTCGAGGCATTTTGTTATGCTTAACACTAGTAAATGAAAGGGCACTAACTAAAAATATCTGTACTACTCAGCTCTCAGGAAATGCTTACTTTACAAAAACTAAGAGATAACACTTTAACAAAGGTAAACAAAAACAAAGATAAAAAGTTTAAATTGTTGGTATAGCATGCTTTAAATATAGTCATTATGTTGCCAAAAAACAAGTTGAAGAAATTATTTTTTCTGGGTGTACACTGCTAATGTCACTGAGTATATATTTGACGCTATTGACCATATAAGCATGGGGGTTATCAACTTGTAAACCATTGGATAAGTTCAAGATGTTAGATTAAAATAACATTTATTTCTCTGCATGGTGACATTGTCATATTAACGATATTTTTATGATCATGCATTAAAACGGTTCTTATTATTTTAGCTTAGAAAAAATTGAAGATTTCAAGAATTACTTTTATTTTAAGAAAAATCAGTGCCGTACCATCAATGGCTGTCAAAATAGGCAGGCGAAATTCCGTACGAACGCCACTGGTGTAAATAAAAAAAAGTATATTGCATGCATGCCGAATTTCATGAAAATATCTAGTGGTATTAGAGATATTAATAATAATTATTAATTTTTGGAAACTTTACCAACCTTTATCTGAAAAGTTAAGTTGTTTAGGATATTCGTTCATATAAAGTTTTCTTCTTAAAATGGACCGAAAAATCGCCCCCTTAAATATTGACATTCAATTAGCTAACATCCTGTATATAACTTCATATATTCAGTATCTACTGTACCTTGAATTTAATGATATATTTCAGGTAGTCGACTTCCACCAATACCGCATGTCGATGTGCCAACATGGCAGAAACCAATCACAAATTTTTTCAATTCTGGTGCAGCAAAACCTCAGGAGAAACATTCAGATGTCGAGAAAAACAAGAAAGATACTGTGAGCAGCAAGACCCAAAAAACATTTGATGATCAACAAGCACAGAGTAGTAACAGTTCTAGCAGTAGATCTGTGATCGACAATAAGTTGGTCAAGAAAGATGGAGAAGACTTCAGTTCTGATGAAGATAAATCTCATACTAAAGTGCCCAGTGACCTGAAAGATATTCTTCAGGAATCTTCTGCAACTGCATCTGCTGAAGAAGAGAATTGTGATCAAGATAGGGTATCAATTAATGAGAAAGGCGCGGAACAGGTCAATTCTCATGGAGAGAATAGAGACACTGAAACTACTTCTGAGGAATCAGTTCCTCAACCAGTTATAAATGATGCAGATTCTTTAGATAAACAGAATAAGGTGTTAGAAGATGTTACTGACAAAAGTACTTCAAACACTGATGCTTCAAATGACAAAGAGGACAGTTGCGATAAAAATGAGTCTATGCCTGAGCCAGATGAGAAATGTAATTCCGATGAAATGTCAGAGAATGTTTTGGTAGACGTTTCTAGTAAAAATAACAAAACCACGGAATTGTCTGTCAAAGACAGTAGTAATAATAGGAGGAGGCCCACTAATCCAGTTGAGAAAAATGTTTCTAAGGAAATCACTATTAAAAAAAAGGTCCATCAAAAGGAGGCTGTATCTGTAGATGGTGAAAAACGCCATGCAGATGAAATAAATTGTGAACCAGCTGTAAAGAAAATGAAAAAATAAATCCACATACAAAATTTCCAAACATTTATACAGTATTTTGTTCCAAAAAATAGATTTAATTGTTGTTGATTTACATAATGTTTACGTAATGTTGATTTTTTATTATTGAATGTAAACGTTATTTCATACCAAATAATCTCATGTCGCAGAATAAATGTTGACTCCCATTTGGAATGATGCTTTATGATCTATTTAATATTCCGAGTAGTATAGGAGACAGTGATGTATCAGCATCCGCATGAACCACAGTATGATTTAGGCACTACACCACCGCTATCCTCCGCTCCCCCCTCCTTTGCAGTTCAGGTAATACAAGCGAAAAAACAGACAAGCAACTGCTCTGGAGCAGCATAGACAACTTGTATTTTATGGATTACATGGCTTTCCAGTTGATATAAGTGTGCCCTTGACTGACATTTTCTCAGAGAGGCCTTGGTCTTCGCAGGTACGTCTGTCAAGTTAATTTGACCAGCCTACATTTTTCAGTCTGGATAATCCTGACTGCTCTTCGGGGTATTTTAAAAATAAATTTGCGAAGTTAATTCCACCAGACTATATTTGTTATTCCATCTAACGACCTCGCAACGACTCCCATTTAGAGAACGTGTCAAATAGTCTTGAGAAGGTACTTCCTTTCACCCACCTGATGACCTCGACTAATAACTCCGAGGTGTTTGCAAAGTATACTCACGAAGCTAATTCCATCAGACTATATTTGTTCCTCCGGACAGCATCGACTACTCCCGTTCAAGTTATTTGCCAAATAAACTCGAGAAGTTGTATTTTATTTTTATTTATTATTCATCATCATTCCCATTCGAAGCGTTTGCCTAATATTCACTGTACTATTCCTGTTCGGGCTGTTTTCCGAATAAACCTGCGAAAGCAACTTTATACCATTATTTAACTCACCGGGTGATCTCGATTGTCCAAAGTGTTTGCCAAGTAAACTTCACCTGATTTTTTTAATTCGCCTTGACGATCTGGATTACTCGTTCGAAGTTTTTGTTAAATAAACTTCCGAAGTTAATTTCACCAGACTATTGCCTTTGATTAACTTGACGACCAGTGGCGTAGTTTGCTCCTGAGGAGCTCTCCTATATTGAGTAATATGAGTGAATAGTTGCGTATCAAGTATTGATTTTAAGAATTAACGCCCCAAGGTGAGCAAATAACGAATATACGATTTTCTGGCCCAATCCTTCACGCCCGCGCATAAGGGTTTGTGATCGCAATAATTTTTGAACTTCAGATACAGTTTTTTTTTCGTTTTGTAATGTTTGCAACACGTAATTCCATATCACTTATTTCCTCCGCTTTGTCTGTCGAACTGTATGTGTGCTGGCGTAATCTGCAACAATTTTATGTAGTTTGCGGAGTAGGATGCTGTCAGCTTCGTTATAGCTAATTCTACTTCAGTTTCGAAATTCGTTCACATGGCTGTGCTATTGTAAGGAAATCATTCACAAAGTATGTGCATTAGTGTTTCAGAAGTCACCAACCACAGACAATCTACTTTTTACTAACTGGTTAACTAGTAGAGCCTTGTATTTGCTTTGAGCCTGTTCTATAAAGGGTAACTGAGGAGTAAATGATAAACACTATATAGGTACATATGCTTTTATTTTCCCATCTTTTGGACCCTATATATTTTATAGCTAAGTACGTTGTCAGGTATTACAATCTTTGTATGGAATGTATGTTATATAATAGAGGGGCAAGATGGTATTAAAGGGTGGGTTACAGAACTATGATATCTGACTAGTATTAACAATGAAACTGACGAGTTAATAACTTAATGTTATATAATAAATGAAGGGAGTCAACCCTAAAAATCAATAATCAGATTTTAAATGTATAAATCCAAAGTATCTTTGTTTCAATATCTATCGCTTAAATGACTCCAGAATATCTAAAATCTAAAAGCCACCTCTAAGTTAACTTTTGTTCAATGTTTTTTCATAGTCTCGAGTCAAGTACAAACTTTTTCTAAAGAAAAAATTGACCCAAGTGCAGTCTGTACTAAAAATATATATGAAAGTATTTTCTCATATAAATGCTTAAGGATTTCATACTTGTATTGTTGCTGTTGAATGGGCATATATAGACTTATAACTATAAAATATCCGTTTTTTATGCTCACATAGTCTTTTTGTACAGATTGCATCAGATAAATATAATGAAGAGAGTAAGTCAAATAAAGTACAAGACACACTTTTGAAGCAATTTACCATGCACATACTTTTTTTGGTAGTTTGTACTTGACTTTCCATCCGTCAAATGTAAAACAAAAAAAAATAATTTCAGTTACTGCGGTTATTGAAATTCAAACCTTTTAAACCTTGTTAAATTTTTACCAGTATCAGAACACCTTACTGATATTTAAAATTGTCTATGATTGCATAAACGGTGAGGAATGAGTAACAAATCACACCAAGGTTTGTCAACATAAATGCATTACCTTTTAATAGTAACTTGAGAGTCCCATCAGATGTCGAATTTATTGTGAAATATCAGTGTATTATGTATTGATAGATCAAATTGAAATAAGTTGTAAAATGTTCAAATCATTAAGTGTTTACTTTTATATATAATTATATAAAATCATTTAGATGTAACAAAAATGTTGACTGATCTTTCATAACCAAAACATGTATCAAGTTTGAGTCTTATATTGATAGAGCCGTTTTACACACAAGAGAATTACTCCGAAAATTATGGTCATAATTATGCCGAAAATTTGCATGGAAAAAATATTGAAGATTTTCTCTACAACCTGTATGACACAAGCAAACAAAATTTCGGAGTAATTCATATGATACGCCTGCGCATTAGAGTAAGATTTTCGAATGGACATAACCTTAACGGGTATGACAACAGACGTCGTTGATTTAAATTTATTTTTGAAATCGAGATCTTGGTTAATATTATAAAACTTCTCAATGCTTGGACTATCGCATCCAGCGCCTGACGCCACAAATTTCTGTTTTTGTAATTGAGTGACTTCACCTTGTACAGGCTTGGCCATTTAGGTACTCCTCCAACAACAGTGTAACTTCTTCGCTTCTTCCCGATTCCACGACATTATGAATAAACAATAACAATAAACGCTCCTTCGTACGACTCGAACAGGACCACACCCACAAATGTTAAGTGAGGATATGTTGTTGACGTTGACATTTGATTTGATATTGACATGTACGGAAATAACCCTCTGCGCCGATTCTCGCGCATATTCTATAGAACGGGTTTTATATTTTTACCATGAAAATTTTCACAAGAATTCTTTTACGTGTAATACGACAGCAAAAATTTTTGGCATAATTATGACCACAATTTTCGGAGTAATTCTCTTGTGTGTAAAACGGCTCATAGTCTTCTTTACCAAAAATTAAGATATCAGAATACTATGAGGTTTTACTCATAGAATGTTGGACAATAATTGTATTCCGAAAATTAGAAACCTTGATGTTCATAATAGATTTGTAGCCATTCCAGCCATTGTACTCTAAATTAAAGAGAAAACAAGAAAACCTCAAATGGAACGACGTTCATTCCATAAAACATTGAACAATAACATTTCTTTATAAATTTGTTTAAAACATTCTTAAAATATCTCCTATTTTTATTGAATACTATATTGTACTTATATTTCTAGACAAACAACGTCGTAACATTTTTACATGACTACAGTTTTTTTCTTGCGTCTCCTACATCGTAATTATAATAAAAGATATGCTTTCCCTGGTCAATCCGCAGGATTCTAAGGCTATAGTAGAGGGCACTTCTAGCTCCTCACCACACTGATTGCAATTGCCTGCCCTAGTAACTGCTACTCGGCAGTTCTTCTAACTAGAAGATAGCTATAAAGAAAAAACTCCGTTGTTCCGCCAGTTTTTCTACTTACCTATCGTGTTTGTGATCGAAAATGATAACTCTCACAATCGTTTTAGGGCCGGTTTCACAATCAGCAGTCTCCAGATATCTTCACCTGTTAACTGTCATACATTTAACTCAAATAAAAGTTAATTAGAAATTTTTGAGTGATGCTTATTATAACATACTAGACTCAGGCGTAGATTTCAAGCAAACAATTTTCGAACACGATAGATAACCCCTGATGTCGACAACGGAGATGTTTCTTTACAACAGATTCTTTCATGTTTTATTGAGTACAAAGGCAGGCTACTACTTTTTGTGACTGCAGAGTGCTTTTGCAGTTTTTCCTTTTTATCAGGCGCACACGAAATTCAATTCTTTGAAAAATATTTTGATACATTATTTTTACGTTATTATGATATTTTGCTGGATAAGGAAAGATTCTGTCGCACATCTTAAAGTGCTGTTTTGCGTCGAGTTGATGACAGAAGAGAATGAAAGCGACCGATCAGCCCGAGACCGATTTGTGAGTCTGACTACTTGTACAGAAAATATGTCACTGTCACTGCGAAATACTCAAACCCAAATTTCGATACATCCGCTCACTACTGGCTAGCCGCGATTAAACCGCTCAGCCACAGCTTTTCCGAAGGCGATTGCTCAGCTGGGAGCTCACGGGCAATTGCGAGACAATTCGATGTTACCTTCACGAATGAGTGAATTGTAAATTGATGTTTCCCTGACCACGTCGCGCCAATCCAATCCGTCGTTTGTGCTGTTTTCTGCTGTAGACTCTCGGCAGATGGGATACATTCGGACAAGCTGTAGCAAAGCAGTTTACTCGCGGCTGGCCAGAGGTGAGCAGATGTATTCTGGAAACACTTTGAAATTTGAATATTTTGCGGTGAAGGTGACAGTGACAAGATTAGAACTGAACTCAAGTTTGGTCGCTGTCGCTGTTTCTAGTCGCTATCGCCCCGCAGAACGCCACCTTTATAGAGGTAATAGAAATATCTATTGGGTATTTTTAAACAAGATCGCACCCAGTTAAATAAAATATCGTACAAATCAGCAACTAAAGCCATGTGTGTCGAATAGTTGAATATGCTCGTGGCAGCCAAACTTCACTGCAAAGTTACTTCATAACTGTTAGGCAGAAGTTTGTTGGTTACTAGGAAAAATGGCAAAAGTAAAAATGCTGTCACAACTTTTTTATACAGATGCAATTTTTAGCACAACGAACAAATGTCTGTATATACATTAAGATCGGATCTTTACATTTTTCAATCCATTCGTTCATTGCACTGGTATATTTCTGAACAGTAAAATTTATATTTGTATATTTATATTTAGTAAATATTATCAAATCTTCTCAATAATCGTTAAAATTTAAGATGTCACTTGACAAGGGGCACAGATTATGATATGTTTAGAAAGTTGTTGTATTATATACCCTATTACCTAAAGCAGAGAAGGCGATTGTGGCTAGTTTATTACACCGTTGATAAGATTATCACATGATTCAGTTGTCTGTCTTGCTCAACCTCAACTTTGAAAAAAAAATCATAAATATGTCTATATGTTGCTCAATCATGAAACTTGGGTCATCATCCATCAATGTTATCGCTGAAACACAATCTTATAAGACAATATAGAAAGTACTTTTCTACATACATTTTAGGCGAAAAATAACATTTGCAGCTTATTTTTATAAACCTATTAAAGGAATAATTTTTTAGCTTTGACTAATCGATCTAAAAGATAGTATAAGCTAAACTTGATAAGCATCTTCAGAAAAATACCATTTATTTATATCAATTTATCTAAAAATATTGGGGATCTCGTAGATTGAGGTATACCGACATATCTATGAATTAGCCTAATTTTATATACTTGCTACTCTCTAAGGCCCGTATCGTCAGTCGTCCCTACAATTGTAGGGCGCGTTTATGACCTCCTTGATTGTCATAATTTTCTACTTCTCCGTGTCAGAACTCTATTTTGAGGTTATGTCACAAACATCTATCTGCATCAAATTGTGCTTGCTTTTGAGTTATATCATGTTTTATCAGCCTGAAATTTTCTACAATTTAAAAAGAAAACATATCTTCACAATAGGAGAGCGCTGACGCTGACACGGGACAAGTGTAATCTAGAAATTTTTGAAGGAGAGAAAGGCGTATGACAATCAAGGAGGCCATAAACGCGCCCTACAATTGTAGGGACGACTGACGATGCGGGCCTTAGAGCATTTGTTTTTAAGAACGAATTAAGGCAACGCAAATCAAAAAACAAAATAACTGTTCCTCTGTTTTGGAATTGAAATTTTAGCAGCTCCAGCAGAATTTGAGATTAAGTGGAAATCAGATATGGACTTTTTTTAATCTTTTTACCTCTGTGTATGGGGTTGATGCTCCCATTTTTTACTACATCCTTGAATACATCTCTAATAATAGATGGTTGAGGTTGGGCATTAAGGACAAAGTAACATTTTTACAGATGTCTCATGAAACCAGTTACATATAACACTACATCTCTATAGATAAAAAACACAGTTACAAGACGACAATTGAAGGTCGGATTGCATATGATGTATATTAACAAGATTAAATTTGTTATTAAAACTAAGCTGATGATATGTTTCGATTAGTTCCCGATAATAAGAAGCCGCACCCTCTCCACACCGAAGCGCTCCGGTTGAGCTCAGAAGATCGCCACGCCATGAGTGACGCATACGCGATTTGGACGGAAACAACACGCAGACCGCGTCACCACAATACAAACAGTGTAAACGGTTACTACAACAGAGTTTTACCACTCGCCAAATCGGTTTATTATACATCCGACACGTGTTTCGCTAAGCTAGCATCTTCAGGGGATGATTGAAGAAATTAAAAAAAAAAACATTTTCAAGGAGTGGGGGAGTGGGGATTGTATAGATACGACTGATGACCCTGATTTGTGAAATAAGCAATTTGAGGTTAGACAATTATTGAACTTCAAGCATACCTTTCCCTTTTGTTGCTAAACTAATCGTGTAATATTCCGCGTCGATTCTAAAAGCTTACACGGATGCTTGCCTATGTCTAGCATATATATATATATATATATATATATATATATATCTTTGAATCTATTGCATACAACTTTGAACAATACTTACAAGTGACAGACCTGTGCTTGAAATTTCTTTTCGATGAATGGCGAGTACTTTTTCGTTTATATTTTTTTACTGTTTCGATATCGTTTCATCGGAAATTAGCTTTATTATACATAGTTGTTTCTGAAAAGGAAATACTCAACTTTCAGGTCACCCTTTATATAAATTTATGCAAACAAGTTGTTCTCTCAAAACCTATAAATTATCCCACAGCTATTTAGCTGTTACGCGGAATATTATGATTAATTTAGATTAGTTTAGTAACAAAAAAGAAAGGTATTCTTGAAATTATTTTTTTTCTAACTGCAAATTGTATGTGACCAATTGGCGTCGTCGGTCGTTTCTAAATAAACCTTTAATCTTCACCTGACGTGCTAACGTGCTATGTTGTAGTGATATTTGCTATGCCAAAGGATCCAACATCACATACATTGTAAATGATTGTGATGGAAAATTCGTGATACCATCGTCATTATTACAAAATCAAATATTATTCGAATAAATGTTGTGTTTATTTTTGAGACAAACACCGACAGAAAACAGCGAATATAGAGGGTTTTGACATGTTTTTATCAAGACAATCATTTTTTGGTGTCCATAATTTTCCAACTGTTTGCAATTCCTTAATTTGCGAGTACCGTTTAATCTGATTCAACAGGATCAAAAACTACTACAACGACTAAAAAGAAATCCATTCAATATTGCTGAAATGAGTACGAGAGCAGATGTAGTAGATAATGTGTTGCCAAACCTTAATTCTCAAGTGACCCTACTACCACATTAAATTTTGTCTCGGAAAAGACATGATTTTATAGAAGGTAGATATTAATTCATTTTCAATGTTCGAGATATTGTTGCTTTGTCTCATAATTCGAGTATTCCCATCACTGAAAATAACTTAAGTTGTATTGTGGTTTGACGTGTCTGCAAGGTATTCATAAGATAACAAGAAGGCTGAAAATGACTAATTTCCTAGTTAGGGGTTAATGTTGCTCCAATAGAAAGTACTAATCAGTGTTTCTTAGCAATTTTTTTATAATTATATGATGTAGAATGCGGTTTAACTGCAGGAAGTGATACAATATTTTTTTTAATTCTGAAATGAAACACAACAAATTGTTATTTATCTTAAATTTGCATCTGATTTAAAAAACTCATCACGTAGAGATAATGTGAATTGACTATTGAGTCAGACGTTTTCCGATATTTTGAACTCATCATGGACGGGAAAAATGCCTAGTTACAGACTATTGAGCAAGCAATAAAAATGTGTTTTTTTCTCATTTACTACCTTCTCATTATGAAATGAACTGGGTATTTGGTGTGTACGATCGGCATTCAATAAACGACAATATATATATAAATAACGGTTAGTGTCCCATCTTTTGTTTAAAATACTTACGAGTGCTTATACTTATACATAATTACCATTTATGCTTCTCCTGGGGTATCGTAACATAAGAGACGGATTTTAGATATTTCTTGATAACTGATTTATCGTGAAATACATTAAGTAAATATAGCAATCAACCATAATTATGATTGCATCATCAACTGCAGTTAATTATAATATGTTGTACTCTTAACAGCTTGAATTCGGTCAGTTGTAGTTTTCGAAATTAGCCACCTGGACCACAGAAATGATAACTATGCAACATTTGCACGTCAACAAAATTAGTTAGGTGAATGAAGAAGATCGTATACACCAAATCATTTTAGGAGGTGAACCTCTTTTCTAAAATATATAACTACACTGTCAATATTACATATATCACATAAACTTCACACAAAAAGCACTACGTTATTATTTTCTACTTAATAAGATTTGCCGATATATTTAAATGTTAAACATGTTTACTGGTATGCAGCGTTAGTACGATCATAAAAAATTAGAAAATTATATAAAAATAATACGCTAATAATAAAACTCACATCAGGTCTTAAATTAATAATATTAAATATTTGCTTAAATTAAACTTTGGTAAACCAATAAATCTAGTATGTACCTATATTAAAAATAACTTTCGCCTTGTTTAATAGCTAAATTTTAATTTGCTTCTTTAGATTACGAGTAATTGACGGTATCAAAATTGATTGTGCTATTTTCTTTTTATAACCATTCTGGGTTAATACACCGACATTAGAGAAAATAATGCCATTAATTTGACTTAGAAAAACTATGAATTCTGATTTTAAATGCACCATTTATTATATGACGTAATTTTGAGAACTCGCAATGATCTATTTTCCGTATTCCTGGATTAAATTTCGGGAAACACGAGGTTATAATCTTAGAAATATTCAAATTTTCATTCTTATAGCAGCCAGCTGACAAAATATGCACAACTGTGGTACATAACCGTTTTGTCGTAGATTATATGGCGACATTTTTTTTTCTATTATCAGCGTATTAATTGTGCTACTCATTAATATAGGTACATAAAATTACTTGAAAAGGTACAATAAAAACGTTAACTTTGAATATTCTACCGTAAGATATAAAATTTTTATAACTATCTTTCATATAACCTTGTCAAATTCTTAAAAATTGCAAGATAACAAATGCTGGTATTAATTACAATGTATCAATAAATAAGCAAAAGCTCTATGTTCAATGTAATAATGTTATCAAAAATTAATATTTTAAAATAAATTTTTCTTTTAATTTCTACATTAAATATTCGGGCAGAGATTTATCAAAGTTTTAAATATAGAACGAGACTCTAAGTTATAATGACCCATAATTTTATATTATTTAATGATATGTTTGTTTTAGTTAGCATCCACTGTTCTAAAAAGAATATATTTGACGTCAATAATCGTTATTGCTATTTTTCAAATGAACATTTTTTTTTTTCGTTTTTATACTCTCCAAATCTAGCCATCGAAAAAGAGTATATCTTCTTTAATAGTAGTATTTTCATGTACAACATTTATGTTTAGCGTAAATTATGATGTATTTAAAGAAATATGAAACGATTTTATTAGCAAGTTCAGTAATAACTGGGTATCATAAAAATATAAGGCCATGGGATACAAGAGCATACCACATGTTTTTCAATGGCTAGTTTCGCGCCTATATCATCTAAAGAGTATATTGAAAAAAGCTTTCCTCTTAAGCTTCAGCATGAAAAAACTCCCTACAGTTTTTACATACCAAAAATAGTTTTAATCTAAAACTTAACTTTTAGGGCACCTTTGGTTTAGCTTATCTTTATCATTAAAAATGATATGACAGAATGAAGCAATCTGCTCAAAATAATTGATGCAGTTTACTTATCACGATATTAATGTAACTATATCCTGACATTTCGCTAAGAAACTATGAATGGTTAACATAGACCAAGTGTATTCCTCTAGCATAGAATTTGGGCCAGCAGTCTGGACTCTCTAGCAGCCCTCGACAACCGTCACTTGTCAAGTCGTTAACGGCATGTAAGAATTAAGATTGTCCAATTTCTTCTCCTTTTGTTCCCTGAAACCATTGAAATAATAAGCAACAAGCTACATAAGTGTGTAATTCGCAACAAGGAAAACATATAAAATTGATATTACAAAATCGGAGAAGATTTGGTGTCTAGGAGACCTGAATTACTCATACATGAAAATGTTTTGTGTAATTAATAGTGTAAGGCCAATCTTTGCACATCTGACTCTGTTTAGCAGGACACATTGGACCTCGTCAGTTCAATTCCGTATATATATACTAGAAAAGCAGAGAACGGTCTCGTTCCTCAAAAGTCTAGTTTAATTTGTAAGCAATGACGAAGATGAACGATTAGAAAGGTTGGGAGATTTCGAAACTGGAGATACTGCAGACCTTTTTTTTATACCGAAGCATCCGCGTAGACAGAAGCCTAAATGCCGGAACACCGCGGCTGCTATGATGATCCCAAAGACATTTTATTAATACGATTTTTGAACTGCCTAAGGTTAATAGAACTGGGAAAAGCTTCCTCTTGTCGATTGTTCCACAATCTCGGCACCCTCGGGAAAGAGGAGCGGTCGAATCGGCCGGTTCTGGATGTACGAAGTTCGACACAGTTAGGATGGGACGCCAAAGTCAGGCGGGTCTGTCTGGCAGGCACATCGCGCGGCGGCATCATGGAAGAGAGCTCTGAGGAGCAAAGGCCGGTGGTGCAACGGTAGAAAAGAGCTAGATTGCCGACAGCCCGCCGGTGCGAAAGAGTCCCGAGACTGTCTGTTAGAGAAGAGTCATAGATCAGTCGGACCGCCCTCTTTTGGACAGCATCGAGCATG